GTGCTGGAGGAAATCAAGTTGCTCATGTCAGTTAGAATCACTCTTGTAAATTGAGGAGCATTTTTATTGAATGCATAAATATTAATAATTGAAATCTCATCATGTTGAGGGTTTCCCTTAATAAATACAAAGTGACCATCCTATCTGTCCTTACTTTTGTTGGTTTAAAGCCTATTGTATCTGTGAATAAAATTGCAACACCTGATTTTTTCTGATTTCCATTGCCTGAATTATAGATGGCTATCCTTTCACCCTGAGTCTATATTTATCTTTTAAGGTAAGATGAGATTCTTATATGCAGCAGATATCTGGCCTGAGTTTTTGTATCCAGTCAGCCAACCTGTGCCTCTTTAGATGACAATTCAAGCCATTCACATTAATTGAGAGTATTGATAAGCCTGGTAGTATTTTGGGTGTCACGTTTTTCAAAAGTCCAGTGGACATTTTTAATCCTTTCACCACTGTGGAAGTTGGAATTTTATCATAAGTTTCTGAGTGAGTTTACTTTGGTGTAGGAGCATTGTGTTGGTATTGTGGAGGATGGGTCTGAGAATATCTTGGAGAGCTTGTTTAGTTATGGCAAATTTCTTCAACGTGTGAATGTCATTAAAGTATTTAATTTCTCCATCATAAACGAAACTCAGTTTAGCTGGATACAGCGTCCTAGGTTGAGAATTGTTTTGTTTTAGAAGGTTGAAGGTAAATGACCAACCTTTTCTGGCTTGAAAAGTTTCAGCAGAGTGATCTGCAGTTATTCTCATATTCTTCCTCTTGTAGGTTATGGTTTTCTTACATCTTGCTGCTTGCAATATTTTCTCCTTCATATTAACTTTGGCAAAGTTAATTATAATGTGCCTGAGAGATGCTTTATTTGGAGTGAGTCATGCTGGGGTTCTGAAACTGTCTGCTATCTGAATTTCAGAATCTCTTGAGATGTTTGGGAAGTTCTCAATTATCTCTTGGAGTAGAGCATCTGGCCATTTCAAAGCAATCTCATCGCCTTCAGGAATTCCTATAAAGCGGATGTTTGATTTTTTGTAATTTTTCCACAGCTCTCTGAGAGAATGATCTGTTTTTGTTCTCCACTTCTCTTCCTCTTTGAGCATTTGGGAGCATTCAGAAACTTTGTCTTCAATGTCAGAAATCCTTTTTCTGCCTGCTCCATTCTGTTACTGAAGGATTCCACTGTATTTCTCACATCTTTGAGGGCTGCAACTTCTTTTCTCAATGTGTCCAATCCTAGTGAATCAGTGATTCTGGGTTGAAGTCTCAGCTGTAGAGAAATACAAGCAACTAAGACACCCCCCCACACACACACACATATGCAACAACTGGAAGAGGAAAATCAAACCTTCCCACTACAACAGAACCAGAGTACCACCTTGGAGGGCCCTTGGGTGATTTGTCCAGTTCAAAAGTTCTAAACTGATTGTTCCAGTCAGCACCAACTGTCTAGTGGGAGAGTTCAAAATGTCTCCAGCATCTAGATGGCAGGGGGGTCTACTGGTAGGTCAAGTGTGGCTCACTCTGGTGTTCCATGGAGTCAGAAAACCCACCCAGTAGAAGAGTTTGACCAAGGGCACTGCTGCCTCTTTCCCCACCTTGCACCTTCTTCATCACCACCAGTCTCTGGTAACCCCACCACCAAGCTCTGGTAGCTCAGTCTCTTTGGCCCAGTTCTGTTCAATAAGCAAATGTTCCAGGGTGTTACCCCTGCCAGAGTCAAAGGAAAATCAATGCCTCCTTGGCCTGGCCACCACCCTCTGCCACCAGCCAGCAGGGGGAGCTGAAGCCTGCCTGTCTCAAGTACTCTATGGCAACTGGGGAGTGTGCCACCTGAGCTCAGTCCAAACCTGAAGATAACAAGACAGAAAATGTTTTTCTCCCTCAGTCACTGCACCTTTGTCCCCGCTGCTCTGAAGCTCTGGTATCCCTATACGATGAAGTCTGGCTACCTCCCTCTGGCAATCCCCAGAGTTGGGGAGGTATCTCTCCAAAATTAGACCCCAGCAGGAATGCTTTATTAATGCTGATGCTGGGTGAGAGATGTCTCCACTCCGATTCCCCCACCTTAGCGGTTCCCGAGTCCCCACCCATTGCATGGAGACCCAAGCCTCTGCCCTCTGCCCTCTGCTGAATTGGGCTTTCTCAGACCCAGGCCAGACACCTCCCCGCCCCCCGCCTTTCTGCACTGTTATCAGATTCACAGATACAGTGTAGCTGTGCTGCCACCAACCCAAAGAACCATGGATATTCTGGTCTCTGCAGGGGTTGGACTTCTAGACTGCCAGGCAAGGGGGGAAAAGTAGATTGGAAGTTCAAAGTGGCAGGGAAAATATTTGTTCAACCTTCCTGCCAGATAAGAGAATGCCCAGCCTCACAGCAGGGACTCTCTGGAGAATGAGTCCCAGCTTCCAGCAACTTGCTCTGGTGGGGTGATAGAAGTTCAATTCACCACTCACTAGTAGAGATCCTACAGCAAGCAAACTCTCCTGGGGGAGGGGATGGACAACCATGAGTTATGTACCTGAAATTTATTTCCTAAAAGTTGCAACTTGCCTCCACAGAGAAGATGTGCAATTATCTATCTCTTCTCTCAGCTCAGCTAATATCCTTTGGCTTTGTTGGGTTCTTTCTGGCCATTATCCTTCCTTCTGGACTGGAGCTTCTGTTGAAAGCTGGTTCCAGTCAACCATCATCACCCACTCCCCCTTATTCTTGTTGAATGTAAAAATTGGAGTTAGGGAAAATAGCCAACCCAAGGATTTAGCAAAACACAAGACACTTTGAAACAGAACAAATAAACAAAAAAGCAACCAGGCACAAATAGACAATCACAAACCAACAAACAACCAAAAAACCCAAAAAAGAAAGGAAAAAACTCAAATGGCCTGATGTAAGCACTCTCAGTGACCATAAGGAGGGAAGAAGAGAAAAAAAATTAATAATAATTAAAAAAATAACAATAACTCCTACAAGAAAGAAAAAAGGAAAAAATATAAAAAAGCAAGAAGAACAAGCAAAGAAAAAAGAAAGAAAGGCACCACCAACAAAAACATTATATATATATAAATATATGACTATGCCATAGGGATCAACTTAAGTAGGAATATATTTATGTTGCAAAATAATTCCTGGACACCAGGTGGTGCCGTGAGTGGTTCCCAGGCTTATACCTGATTCCCAGCTTAACATTGTTCTTGGTGGTTGCCTGGCTACACGCTTGGCACTTAGACCCCACTGAACTATTGATTCCACCAATCTCAAAAAATCTTCATAGGCAGGTTTCACAAATTCTCTCTGCAACTGTTCTCATGAAGTGCAGGATATCCTGGGCCTGTTTCAAGTGCAGGATGACAGCTTGCAAGTGAGACTCAAATCACTGCACCTGGCCTTCATGGAAAGGTGCCTGTGGCTACCACCATTTCCCAAATTTTAAAACAATGTCCTCTTCCTATCTGGGAAGTCTGAGTGTCTCTCCCGCCACCTAGAGGTAGTGCCGCTTGAGACGGCACCCCACTCTGGCTTCCAAATTCCATTCAGGCGTCCACACTTCACCAATCTTTCCACACAACACCTAGTTTCCCCACAAACTGGGAACTGCAATCTTCGGTGGGAGGGAGTGGGGGTGGCTGGTTGTCACCACTGCCTGCTGCTGCAGTTGCTGCACAGAAACTTTCCTGGCAGTCTCCATAGCTCTGGATTACACTTCAAGTCCAGTGACCTGCCACTTCATGGCGCACCCCAACCTGCTATTCCATACCAGTATACCATGCTGGGAATGATCTAGCCTACTGACTATCACCTGTTGTTTTGGGAGAGCTGAGTTAAACATCTATCCCGTCCGCCATCATGCTCCACCTCCTGACACTTATTTAATTCATGGGAAACCCATCTACCCAACTTCTTTACCTTGCTGATTTGTTTCAAATGATCTAGTATTTTTGGAATAGTAACATCAAACCTTGCTACTAATTCAGACATAGATTGAGATGGATTCATTCTCACTACAGCTTTCAGCTTAGCACTATCTACCTTGGTCTCAGATTGCCTACATGACTCACTTTCAAGATTAAAGTCACCAAAATGAAACTTCTCCAACTATTGATGTACTGTGCATTCATTAGCTACATCCTTCTCAAATACTTTGTTGACATTTTGGGCTGCCTACACTATAGTGGTTCCACAGCGGAACTCATATTTGAAAACAACACAAACTTTTGACTTATTCGTGGTTACACAAAAGTTGCTCTAAAAAATTTAAAAGATAATCATCAGCCCGAATGTGCATTTGAAAGAATTTTATCTTCACAATAAAAGTAAAATGAGAAGTGTCAAGATGAAATGTCAGAGATACCAACTGTCAAACTTAGTACTAGAGGAAAATGGCCATTTCATACTTAATAACTATTTTCTAGTTGTTTTGTAGATCCTTTCTTTCTATCTTACTGCCTTCCATTGTGGTTAAATTGTTTTCTGTATTAGCATGTTATTGTTCCTTGTGTTTTATTTTTAGAGTCTGTGTCTCTCCTATGGGTTACTCCGCAAACCTATTGCCTATTAGATAAAGCCCCAGATCCTAGTCCTAGCACTTAAGGCTGCTCATACTCTGGTTTTAGTTTAACTTTCCAGTTTCATTTTCCATTCTACAAAAATAGTTCCACTCACTTGCCTTTTCCCTCTCAACTAACTTGTGCATAGTCTCTTTAAAATTTCCTTCTCAGGTTATAATGTAGTAGAATGCAGAGACTGAATTTTATTGGTATATTTATGTATGTGGTAGGCCTATGGTACGCATTGATTGAATACTGATTTTTAATAAAAATTGCCATTTGTGTAACAGAAAAGGAGATGATAATTAGAAAAGGATAAAATTATAAATAAGTCTATTAGGGGGAGTCTATCTTCACTTCTTCCAAAGATGCTTCTTTATTTCCTGAGTTGGTGTATACTCTCTGATCTTCAAACTAGAAGACTTTCTTAGTACTTTTCTTTTGCAGGTGAGATGTATAAAAGTGCAGAAAATAAGATATGTTTGGAACAACTTAGAAGAACAGTTCCAGAAAATTGGGTAAGTTGCTTAGTAAGTGCATCCAAAGAAAAAAATGTTATCTCAGAAATATGGCTGCTAAATATGTCCTTCTAATTATTATTATTTTAGCTCTTTGGAAGATTGGCTCAGTTCTGCCAAGATACATGAAAAATTTGGATCAGGCCTAACAGGAGAAGAACAAGAAATTAGGTACCATACAGATATTATTGCCTATACTATCTCTCTCTCTCTCTCTTTTTTTTTTTTTTTTAAGATTTTTACTTCTTTATGGTTTGTTAAATTAATATTGTATGAAGCAGCACTCAATTGGCAGTACAAATTGCAACAGATTTCCCTGGTTCATTAGAGTGCTTCTATTTTTTGTTGATTTCTTTTGGGAGTGCCTCTACTCTTTTAAAAGAACTGTTATCAGTTGGATAAAAAGCTCAGTAAATAGTTATTTTAATTGATCAATATCAAAAAATGTTGTAGTGCTCTAGTTAGCATTATTCATTTAAATGACTTCACATACTTTATATCTCTTCATCTTCAGAGCAACCCTGTGAGGAAGGTAGAAAAGACATCATCACCATTTTAATATGAAAAATCTGAGGCTCAGATAGGTTTAAAGCCCTGAACAAGGTCACACATGTGGAAAGTAATTGATAAGGAATTGAGTCCCATGCCTCTGACTATAGTTTTAGTGTTCTTTCTACTTTAAATGATGTTTCTCAAGGTCATCATAATAAAAATGTTGAAGCCAGTTTTAATTATAATCAAGAAACGGAAATCATCATGAGTTCAACAACAATTGTGGAGCCTCAGAAGAACATCACACAAGACATGCAGCTCCACAGTCTCAGAGCAGTTACTAAGCAGAGGAGCAGGTTAGGGAGGGCAATGGAATGTCAAGGGTCCTACAGCTTTGAAGAAATATCTTCTCTCTGAGCCTTAGTTTCCCAGCTATTAAAAAGGGGGTGGAGAAGGACTCTATAAAGGCCCTTTCAGTGATTCTCCATTTTTCATGATTTGTATACTTTCCCCACCCCCATTTCTAGTACTTTGAAGAAACCTAGAACCTTGCAGGCATCAGCATCCCATGGGAGCTTATAAGAAACGTAGAATCTCAGACCACACCTCAGCCATGTTAAATCAGAATCCTCTTTTTTTTTTTTCCTTGAGACAGTCTTACTTGTTTGCTCTGGTAGAGTGCTGTAGAGTCATAGCTCACAGCTACTTTAAACTCTTGGGCTTGAGCAATCCTCCTCTTGCCTCAGCCTTTGGAGTAGCTGGGACTATAGGCACATGCCACCATACCCTAGTTTTTCTGGTTTTAGCAGAGATGGGGTCTCTCTCTTACTCAGTCTGATCTCTAACTCCTGACCTCAGGGGATCTTCCCACCTGGGCCTCCCAGAGTGCTAGGATTACTTACAGTCATGAGTCACCACATCCTGCCCAGAATCCTCATTTTTAAGAAGATCACCAAATTATCTGTATGAATACTAAAGTTTGAGAAGCACTGCTTTAATACATTTGGTAAGCTATCTAACCTGAGTGTCTATGTGAAAGGCACAGAGGAAGTGATTATTTATTACTCTCAATAACAATTACTCACAAAGTGCCACTCTTCTGCAAAATCAAAGAAACACCTCTCTGGGTCTCAATCTGAGGGCTTGATAATCCCATGTAGAACTCTTTTTGAGATTCCAGGATCTTTCTGCTAATATTAAAACAAATTAATGCAGCTATTTATTGTTTTCATGTTGGGCAAACTTCTCCCTGCTGTTATTTAGAGGAGAATGGGAATATTATATCGAAAGGGAGGCTCATGTTGACCCTACAAGTGAGAAAGTGAAGACAGAATAGACCTTTTTTGAATGGGTGAAAAATGAGCTTCATTTTTATTATTAGTGACTGACTGGTCTGTGATCTCTCCCTCTAGGAGGTTAATATGTGGGCCTAATACTATTGATGTAGAAATCACACCAGTTTGGAAACTGCTCATCAAGGAGGTAATTTCTCCAGCGTTTGCTCTTGGCTTTGAATAGAAAAGAAAGAAGTTTGGTTCTAGTCAACCAGGAGTGCTACTTTGCAATATGCAACTATAATTTGAGAGATATTTTAAAAGAATGCCAAGCATATTTTCTTCATACCTCTTATTTCCTCTCCCTCTTTTTTTGTCAAATGCATCTTTTGCACATGGCCTCATTCAGTAAAGGATATGACACTCTGCTTATTTAGTAACTGGATGAATGTAATATTTCTTTTCTTCCTTTTTTTTTTTTTAAATACCCTGATACTTAGCCAGTTTCAAGTTTATGAGACTAAGATTTTTTTTTAAAGTAATTCTTTTGTTAGGCAACAGATATAATTTCCTCAGCATCTGAAATTGTAGGAAGAAGCAAAACTCCATCTATGCAGCCTTATTATTAACTGTACTAATCCCAAGGCATACGTGGGAGTTGAAGTTTTCCCCTTGGGCTCTATCACTGGGCTTATCATTTTTCACTTGATAGTGATTATTATCAAATCATAACTCTATAGCTCTAATCTAGTTTCCCCTATGCTCCACCTCCACCCCCTTTTGCCTCAAAAAAAAAAAAAAAGGTTTCTAAACTCAAGGTGCTTTTTTGATATTTCCAGAAAGATTTCAAGCATGAAAGAAAGCAAAATAAATTGATAGAAACAGTTTCTGTGAACTTCTCCTCTAACCAGAGAAAAGGATTATCATTCCTGTTTTAGACAAAAGGAAACCAACTCGAGGGAATTTGAGTAAGGGCACAAAATGCTTTTAAGCAAAGCATTTTCAGAGCAGCTCTCTACTTACGAGAAAATGTAGTCTTCAACTCACTTACTAACCTAAAGTTATTTTATTTTATTTTTTTTAAGACAAGAATCTCACTCTGTCACCCAGATCAGAATGGTACCCTGGTGCCAAACTCTTAGGTTCAAGCAATCCTCCTGCCTCAGCCTCCTGAGGAACTGGGACTACAGGTGCCCACCACCATGCTCAGCTAATTTTTCTATTTTTAGGTAGAGATAAAGTCTCCCTCTTGCTCAGGCTGATCTCTAACTGCTGAGCTCAAGGGATCCTCCCACTGGGCTTCCCAGAGTATGTGGATGACAGGCACGAACCACTGCACCTGGCCTAACCTTAAATTCTTTAATTTAGTGGCTTTGTATATGACAACTGTCTTGCCATAGAGAAGAGCAATAAGACTACTTTAACTTTTTATATCTGAACTAATACATCACCTTTATGAAGGCCAGTAAATGAAAACAGGAGATGCTAACATCTACTTATACTATTATTATGATGGCCAATATGATGATGGTCAACACAAGACTCTACTTTGTACATTGTAAAATGCAGGAATGATTGAAGTAAGTCCTCTGGGGTCAGATTGCCTGGGTTTAACTCTAGGCTCTGTTACAGTCATTATTGTGTGACTTTGGATAGGATGTAAGGCTCACTTGCTTCCCATCTTCACAATGAAGAGAAGTTATGGCTTCTGGTTTATAAGGTAATTATGGAAGTTAAATGGGCAAATTTGGGCAGAGTTACTTAGTGCAAGGTCTAGCACATGCAATTGCTGAAAAATGATTATGAAAACAAGTCAATGAATAGCTTAACATGAACCCTAAAATATCTCCCTTGTCTTCCTGTTTTTATGTCTGCCCACAGGTTCTAAATCCATTTTACATATTTCAACTCTTCAGTGTCTGCTTATGGTTCAATGAAGACTATAAGGAATATGCTTTAGCCATCATAATCATGTCTGCCATTTCCATAGCTTTCACAGTATATGATCTCAGGGAGGTGAGTTTACTAATCCTATGACCTCAGAAAGGGAGCAGCAGTAGGGCTATCATGGACATTTTGTTAGAAAGGAGAATCAGGAAATAATCATTGCCCACTCCATATTATTGTAAATGAGATCAAGTTTGTAAATATGTAGCAAAATAGCCAATGCTCAACAAGTTCGTCTTCTCCCTACCCTCATGTCTCAATCCCTAAACTTTCAAGTTATTTTTCCCCTCAAAACTGATTAACCGTAACAATATGCAAACATTTATAAATTGTGAATAAGTGGTAAAATATATGCAAAGAATACTGATGGAACTTGAGGATAGTGAAAGAGAGACAGAAGGTAGAGGAATCCCTTTTGTAATACATCTTTTTGGTTGGCACACATCTATCAAGGCTCCAGTTCAAGTCTTGGCTTTTTTATGTGTTCACTGGGAAATCTTAGTGCTCTCACACAGAACAGATTGGCTGACTGCACAATGCACCCATGAACGTCAACTTCATGTAGGCAAGCTTTCTTGCATCTCTGATCAAAGTGCTCTGTTATTCTCTGAAATTAAGGTTTCAAGCTATCTCCCTTTTCTGGTTTCTGAGATGCTTCTTGTTCTATATTCTACTTTTCCTCTAACTCAGAAGATAATCTCTTTACTTAGTTCACAAAGACACTGGGAACCATATGACAGGAATTCACCCAGCTCTCCACTCTCTAATTGTCAAATTTCCCATCTCTTCAACCTCCTTCCTCCTTGACTCCTCATTTCAGTGGAGGATGGGCTCTATGCCTGTGCTTATTACACCATCCTCTCCCACCTCCCTGGGGTGCCTATGGAACCCATGAGTGATTCCTTCCATCTCCCTGTCCAGCAAGACCCTTTCCAACAACATGTAACATGCTCAAGCTCCTCCCAATTTAAAAACAAACCTCAAACAAACAAAATAATTACTTATCCTGACCATGCTTATAACTTCAGCTAGTATTGTATCTCTCTCCTTTCTTTTATAGCAAAACTTCTTGCATCCTTATGCCCATGCTCACCAAAATTACTCATCTCCCTCTCTCTTACATTCATGGTAATCTGGCTTCCTATCTCATTACTCCCTTTAAACAGCTCTTATTAAGGTCACTACTATCCTAAAGCCTATAGTTTTAACATCAAAAAAATTTCTTTTTCAATTAGCTAGTTTTTTTTTTCTTAATAGAAATGGCAACATGTGAGTGTGGAAAAATTTTTAAATAGAACAAAACAGTGTGAGTAAAATTTAAGAATTCCTCCTAATGGGGAAACTTCTCAGTGTCTAGGACCCTTTTAAGAAATGTCTATTGGGATCAGATTTTTTGCATATTTTTAGTAAAATTAAATACATATAAATTAATTTGTTTTACAGAATAAAAATATACTATGTCCTCTCTTCTGTACTTGCAATTTTCACCAAATATATCTTGAATATATTTCTGCTTCTACACAAATACACCTTCTCTAAATGTACCATAATTTTTTAACCACTCCAATATTGATGACTAGTTAAGTTGATTCTAAGTTTTTGCTACCAAACAATGCTACCATGAATGTCCTTGCATGTGTCTTCTCATTCACTTACATATATGCCTATGTAGATACACATGTTAAATATTTATAACTAAAAAGTATATCTAACCTGGATTACATACAGATATCTATATAGGAAGTTAATATGCTTATCTACACATATAACTGCATTGATATAAAAATGCACAATTTCTGGGTGGCACTTGTGGCTCAGTGGGTAGGGTGCTGGCCCCATACACTGAGGATGATGGGTTTGAACCTGGCCCTGGCCAAACTGCAACAACAACAACAAAAAGAGCCCAGTGTTGTGGCAGGCACCTGTAGTCCCAGCTACTCAGGAGGCTGAGGCAAGAGGATTACCTAAGCCCAAGAGTCGGAGGTTGCTGTGAGCTGTGATGCTACGGCACTCTACCACGGGTGATAAAGTGAGATAAAAATAAATAAATAAATAAAATAAAATTTCTGCAATTGAAATTTCTTAAGTCATAAGTTAGGTATATAATTTTCAAATGCCTCTTAAAAATGTTAAAATGTCTCTTAAAAGTGTCAAAATACCTCTTAAAAAAGTAACACCAATTTAGACCCCTTCCAATAGCAGATGAGTTCATGTTTCCTTTATCTTTGCCAGTATAAGTAAAAATAGAATTCAATAACTTCGATAACATGTTTTCCATTATGAGTTGAGCATGTCTTCATGTTTTCAGCTATTTGTATTACTTTACTGTGAATTAATCTTTGTGTCCTTTATTAATTTTTATTGGGTTGTCAGTATTTTGCTTGTTGATTTTATGACTCCCTTGGTGTGGATATATTTTTCCCCTTGTAAATATTTTATTAAACTTCCCAGCTGCCTTTGGAGCAGTGATTTGCTCTTTGGCATTCATCTTTTCCAGGTCCCCCTTACTATTCTGTTTTGATAGCATATCCTTCTCTACCTGGCATTTTTTAAAATGGATGTCTCAAAATCAAAACAATATGAAAATGTATATAAAGTCTCCATCTTCCTCTCCTTCTCCACTTGGCCAAGTACTTTTATTAGTTTCTCATGCATTCTTCCAAAAATATTTTTTTGGTGAATGAGACAAATACAAGTGCATACATTTTCTTTTTCTGTTTTTATCTTATGTAAATGGTAGCATAATTAGATTGTTCTATACCTTGGTACTTAAAAAATTATTATGAATATGTCTTGAGGATATTTTCAAATGAGCATATGAGAGATTCTTCATTACTTTTTATAGCTACATATGCCATTGATGTATACATGTATGCTAATAACTTTCAATATATTTCTGAAGTCTAAATATCTCTTTTGAGTTCTAGGCTTGTAGCCTTAGCAACCTATTTGACAGCGCCACTTTAATACCCAAAAATTATCTGAACTTCAACACATTCAACATAGAACTCAAGAATTATTCTTCCAGCTGGGTGTGGTGGCTCACACCTGTAATCCTAGCCCTTTAGAAGACCAAGGCAGGTGGATAGCTTGAGTTTGAAACTAGCCTGAGCAAGAGTGACACTCTGTCTCTATGAAAAATGAAAAACTGAGGCAAGAAGATTGCTTGAGCCCAAGAGTTTGAGGTTGCTGTGAGCTATGGTACTATGGCACTCTATCTAGGGAAATAAATGAGACTCTGTCTCAAAAGAAAAAAATTATTCTTCTGAAATCTACTCTTTTAGGCTTACCCCATTTGGTAATAGACACTACTGACTATTTAGTTATACAAGCCACAAATCTAGCTGTTGTCTTTGCATAAATTTTGGAAATTATACAACTTCTCAAGATTCAGTCAGGAAGAAATAGATGAACAAACCAATAATATGTAGAAAAATCTCCAACCCCCCCCCCCAAAGAAAATCCCTGGGCCACATAAACTCATAGCTGAATTCTATCAGAACCACAAAGAAGAACTGGCAGCCATTCTACTGAAACTGTTCCATAACATTGAGAAGGAGAGAATCATCCCTAACTCATTCTAGGAAGCTGGGGTTACCCTGATATCAATACCAGGAAATACACAACAAAAAAAAGAAAACCACTGACTAATATCTCTCATGAACAGAAGTAAAAAAGTCCTCAACAAAATACTAGTGAACTAAATTCAAAAGTACATCAAAAAGATAAATCACCATGATCAAGTAGGTTTCATCCCAAGGATGCAAGGATGGTTTGATGTACACAAATCAATAAAAGTGATTTACAACACAAACAGAGTTAAAAATAAAAGCCATGTGAGCATCTCAATAGATACAGAAAAAGTGTTCAATAAAATCCAGCCCCCTTTTCTGATAAAACTCCTCAACAAACTAAGCATAGAAGGAACATACCTCAAAATAATAAAGATGATATATGACAAACTTGCAGCCAACATCATATTGAATGGGGAAATGTTGAAAGCATTTCCTATAAGAACTGGAATAAGACAAGTGGTGCCCACTGTCACCACTTCTATTCAACATAGAGAGTACTGAAAGTCCCAGCCAGAGTAATTAGGCAAGAGAAAGAAATAAAGTGCATACAAATTGGGAAAGAGGAGGTCAAACTACACCTGTTTTCCAATGATACGCTCTTATATTTAGAAAACTCTAAAAATCCACCAACAGACTCCTAGAATTGATGACTAAATTCAGTAGAGTCTCAGATTATAAAATTAACGTACACAAAACAGTAGCATTTCTAAATATTAATACTAATAACAGTGGGTGGCACCTGTGGCTCAAAAGGGTAGGGCCCTGGCCCCATATGCCAGAGGTGGTGGGTTCAAACCCAGCCCCAGCAAAAAAAAACCTAAAAAAACCTAATAACAGTCAAGCTGAGAGTCGATCAAGAATTCAATACCATTTATAATAGGTGCACAGAAAAGAAAATACCTATGAATATACTTACCCAAGGAAGTGAGAACTCTTTACAAGGAGAACTATGACACTCTGAGGAAGAAATCATAGATGAACCAAACAAAGTGAAAAATGCTGCATGCATGAATTGGAAGAATCACCAAAAATGTCCATACTCCCCCAAATGCTTAACATATTCAAAGAAATTCCCATTATAATACCAACATCATTTTTCATAAATCTAGAAAATTAATCCTAAACTTCATATGGAATGAACAAACAAAAAAGCCCGAATAGCCAAATCAGTCCTAAGCAAAGGAACAAATCCGGAAGTACCACATTACACAACTTTAAATTATACTTCAAGGTGACTGTAACCAAAACAGCATGGTACTAGTACAAAGATAAACAGACAGACCAGTGGAATAGAATAGAGAATACAGAAATAAAGGTGCACAACCACAATCAAGTGATTTTTAACAAAGTAGATGAAAACATACACTGGGGAAAGTATGCCCTGTTGAATACATAGTGTAAGGAAAACTGGATAGCCTCATGCAGAAGAATGAAACTAGATCTCTATCTCCCACCAAATACAAAAATTAACTCAAGATGAATGAAAGACTTAAATGTCAGACCTGGAACCACAAAAATTCTAGAAGACAACATGGAAAAAACTCTTCTGGACATTGGCCTTGGCAAAGAATTTATAACTAAGAGTCTGCAAAGAAAGACAGCAACAACAAAAACAAGTAAATGAGGCTTAATCAAACTAAAAATTTCTGCACAGTAAAGGAAATAATTAACACAGTAAATAGACAATTTAAGGATGGGAGAAAATACTTATTAACAATACACCCAACAAAGGGCTAATATTGTGGATCTACAAAGAAATCAAACAAATCAACAAGAATAAAACAAATAACCCTATTATGATGTGGGCAAAAGACATGAATAGATTTTTTTCAAAAGAATATAGATAAATGGCCTTCAAAAACATGAAAAATTTCTCAACATCATTAATCATCAGGGAAATGCAAATGAAAATCACAATGAAATATTATATTACCCCTGTCAGAATGACCATCGTTTAAAACAAAAACAAACAAACAATAGATGTTGGCATGGATGCAGTGAAAAGGGAACACTTACACACTGTTGGTAGGAATGTAAAATTAGAGTACAACTACTGTGAAAACCTGTATGGAAATTTCTCAAAGAACTAAAAGTAGACCTACCATTTGATTCAGCAATCCTACTACTGGGTGCTCTACCCAAAGGAAAGGAAGTTATTTTATAAAACAGACAACTGTACCTGAATGTTTCTCACAGCAAAATTTATAATTGCTAAGATATGGCATCAACTTAAGTGCCTATCAACAGATGAGTGGACAAAGACAATATGAGATATATATATATATTATATATATGGGTACTACTCAGCCTAAAAAGGAATGAAATGATTCCTTTTGCAGTGTAATTTGAGTGGAACTGGAGACAGTTAACCTAAGTATCTCAAGAATGGAAAAACAAATACCGCACATTCTCACTTATAAATGGGGGCTAAAAAGAGATACATGTGATCATGAAGTGGTGTAATGAACATTAAAAACCAATAAGGGGGGACTCTTGAAGTGGGGTAAAGGATAAAAATCTACCTGTCAGGCACAAAGTACCCCATTCTCCTTATGGATACATTGAAAGCCTTGACTTTACCAAAATACAATTCATCCATGTAACAAAAAACCCTTGTTATCACCCCAATTTTTTGAAAGACAGAAAAAAAATGCCATCCAGAACATGACAATTCCCATATTGTTATCACCAAGACATTTCAAAATATTTTCATTACTTTTATAGTAAACTTCTAAATCACGTGGTGGGCTTTTAAGCTGTACCTCAATGTACTCAAATATTTTAGTCTCAAGCATCCCTATTTTCTTATGAATCATTGACTACCCCAATGATTTTGTGGGTTGTATCTATTGCTATTTACTATATTAAATATCATAACTTAGAATCATAAAATATATATTTATTAATTTATTTTAAAATAGCAATCATAAAACCTCATTACATGTTAACATAAAATATAGATTTAAAGACAACTGTATTTTCTGAAGTGAAAATAATTTAATGAGAAGAATGACGCTGTTTTACATGTTTGCAAATCTACATGTTTGGCTTGACGGAAAACAACTGGATTCTCTTAATTTCTGTGTTCGATCCATTATGATATTAAATATCATTCAGCTTCTGAAAAACTCCACTGTACATTGTGAAAGAATAAGATTTAAAAAAAAAATTAATATTTTAGTACTCTCATGAAAATACTTTACTTTCTAAACCCCTTTGAGATATTTCTGAAACCCTCTCCCCCAAAGGAATCCTCAGAGAATGCTCAGAGGACCGCTGCTCCAAAGTACTTGCTGACTGCCCTCCAGACACACTGGTATTTTTGTTTACTAAAATGTACTCTTTTTTCTAGCCTCAGAGCATTGAGACATGTAACCTGGTATTGTCCATTTTTTAATCCAACTCCTTTGGCTAAATAACTTCTACTTAGGTCCTCCATTCAATGTGCCTTCTTTGGGGGAGATTTCCCTTGATTCCTTTTGCTATATTATGCCCCAGAAGCAATTTATTTTTTCCCTCTTGCTACTGATCATAATTACACATTTATATATGTGTTTATTTGATGAAAACGTGTTTCTCTAAGTGGACTGTAAATTCCTTGGTACTTCTTACTACTCCTTGGTAGCAAGAATCTTATCTCTTTTGTTTACTGTTTCCTTCCCTTCTCTAAGTAGAGAGTACCTGGCATGTTAAAGGTTGCTCAATCAATATTTGTTGGTGAATGCACAGATGAATAATAGAATGAGTTACTAGCACAATATTCTGTATTTGACCTTACAGTCTTCTAAAATATTAATCATTTTTAGAACATACTTCTTAGACACATAAATAATTTGAAGCTACAAGAATTTTTTTATTGTTTATTTTTTTGGAGATGTGGGTCTCCAATTGTCATTCAGACTGGAGTGCAGTGGCATGATCATAGCTCACTGTAACTTTGAACATCTGGGCTCAAGCAATCCTCCTGCTTCAGCCTTCCAAAGTGCTGAGATTATGGGCATGAGCCATCACACCTGGCCTGATGCTAGGAGATTTAGAAAGTGTCTTCAATGACAAAGTCAGGATAAAAAAATGAATACACTAAATGATTGAGATTTTTAACTCCCAGAGCCAGGTAGCAATCTTTCACATGTGGAATGGAAACCAATGTAATTTAATTACTCATATATATTTGTCTTCTTTTATTGGTTCACTGTCAATATCCCATATGGTTTATATATTGGAATAACAAATATTACAAGGAAATAGCAGAAACCTCCAAACTCCTTATTAAGTTACATATTAGAAGCTCTGATGTGAGAGTCCAAAGGTTAAATAATGCCTAGTAGTTTTTCAAGCTATTTAAATATAAACCAATATATACACCACGGATAAATGTCCGTGATGTTATTTACTTAAAGAACTAAACACAAATTTGTGGTTTTCAAAAATGCCTTTGAATAGAAAGAGAATAGAAAGAGCATTTCTACTGGGAAATTCCTTTCTGCTTAAGAACACATACTTCTTGCTGGGCGAGGAGCACTGGAGTTGGACACTTTTCCATTGAATACGAGGCTCCTAAGTCTTTGTCTTTAGCCAGTGCTTTCAGCTGCAGTAAGACAGTTCTCCATCTTTAAAGATATTAATACTTAAAAATGCCTGGGACCTATACTCAAATTGATAAGCCTTTTCTATTTTCCCTTCTTTTTCAGCAATCTGTAAAACTTCACAATCTAGTTGAGTCACATAACTGCATTCCAGTCTCCGTATGTGGTAGGAAAGGTAAGTTCCATTATTTTAGAACTATATGCTACCCATATAGAATCAGAAGAGGACCTGAACGTGTCTTTCTAATTGTTCCTACTACTCCCATCTTCATAGGCATCTTTTCTTGGCATTTGCTCAAAAGGATAAGGAACTTGAAGTCTTTTCACCTAAAAAACCCAACTTTTAAAACATTAATAAAGTGAACGTACTGTCTTTATAGAGTGCCATTTGGTAAATTTTGATGTATGTATACACCCAAGAAACCATCTTCATTATCAAGATAATGGCCATCCATCACTCCCCAAAGTTTCCCTGGGCTGGTTTGTAATCCTTTTCTACCCTCTCTCCTTTCTCATCTTCAGGCAATCACTTATCTGCTTTGTGTCACTATGTATTAGAATTTTATATAAATGGTGTTGTATAGTCTGCATTTGGGCTCTTTGATAACATATTTTGAATTAATTTTGAGTTAATAATTATTTTGAAATTTCATCCAGTTTGTTAAGTGTAGCAATAGTTCATTCCTTTTTATTCCTGAGAGTATCCCATTGTGTGGATATACCAGTTTGTGCCTCCATTCACCTGTTGATGGATATTTGAGTTTCAGTTTTTGTTTTTGTTTTTTTTTGTTTTTTGAGATAGGGTTTGACTGTCGCCCTGGGTAGAGTGCTGTGGCATCATCATTGCTCACAGCAACCTCAAACACTTAGGCTCAAGTGATCTTCTTTCCTCAGCTTCCTGAGTAGTTGGGACTATGGGCACCTGCCACGATGCCTGGTTAGTTTTTCTGATTTTAATAGAATCGGAGGTCTTACTCTTACTCAGGCTGGTTTCGAACTCCTGAGCTCAAGCAACCCACGCACCTCAGGTTCTCAGAGTGTTAGGATTACAGGTATGAGCCACTGTGACCAGCCTGAGTTTCAGCTTTTGGCTATTGTAAATGATATTGCTATGAACATTTGGGTACAGGTTTTTGTATGGACATATACTTTTATTTTTTAGGGGAAAAGACTTAGCTGTAGAATAGCTGTGTCATGGGGTAGATAAGAGTGTAACATTTTAAGAAACCTCCAAATCATTTTCCATTCCCACCTGGCAGTACATGAGAGTTTCAGTTGCTGTACATTCCTGCCATCACTTGGTATGGCCAGTGTTTTTATTTAGCCACTTTTATGTGTGGTAATATGTCATCGTTGTTTTAAATTTGCATTTCCCTAATGACTAATAACATTGGACACTTTTTCCAGTGTTTATTTGTACTTGTGTATCTTTTTTGGTGATGTATCTGTTCAAATATTTTATTAGACTGTTTTCTTATTAAATTTCTTATTATTCAAAATTGACTATTTTCTTATTAATAAATTATTATTATTAGAAACTCTTTCTACATTTTGAATACAAGTCCTTTATCAGAAAAGTAATTTGCAAAAATTTTCTCTCAGTCTGTAACTTGTCTTTCCACCCTTTTGCACAGTCAGTGCCTTTCAAAGGGCAGATGTTTTTATTTCTGTTATAGTTTATCAACTTTTTCTTTTGTGGATCATGCTTTTGATGTCATACCTAACACGTCTTTGCTTAATCCAAAGTCACCAAGACTTTTTATATTGTCTTCTGGAACTATTTTTATAATTTTAGCCTATTTATTTATTTATTTTTACAAAAAGACACAACACTGTAGAATATAAATGTCTTAACACAATAACTAAGAAAATGACATGAAGGCTATGTTAACCAGTTTGATGAAAAATATTTCAAATTGTATATGAAAACAGCACACTGTATCCCATGACTGTATCAATGTACACAGCTATGATTTAATAAAAAAAATTTATAAATTAAAAATAAAAGATGCAACAATTTTATTTTTATTGTAAACCAACAATTTATAGTTGTATAAACTTATGGAGTATGCAGTGAATGTAGAATAATTAAATCAAACTAGTCAATATATCCATCACCTCAAGTACTTAACATTTTTGTGGTAAGAACATTTGAAATTTAATATTAACTCTAATTGCCACATTGTGCAACAGAACTCAAAAAAGAACGAAGCATTCTTCAGAAGAGTTTGCATCTTTGACCATTAATGAGATAAAATATCATTTTCAAAATAGCATCCAAACATGAGTGTATTTACTTACATCCTCCAACATGTTAAACATGGTATTTCATGTTTAACAAACTGTTAACAGAGAAAATTGGTTGAAGAAAGGCATATGAACATTATCTTATAAGAATTAGAACCAAGGGGCTCCATAATCATTCATTCAATATTGTATCTGTGGTTAGAAATATACATGATAGGAACTCCAAGGATTTTCTGGATTCTTCATTTAAGGTCTCGGTCAACTGTGGCCATGATGTAACACTTGTGCTAAGTTACTCTCTGTACTAAGCAGTCATCTGCATAGGTTCCTTTGTGTGTGCATGGTAATCATTCAAATCTTGGGTCCGTGGCAATCCTGAGGGCCACTCGATAATTCTGCCCCAATTTCTCAATTTCAGCCATTACACAGTCAGTTATACAAGGAATACACTTGGCATACAGACAGTCCATCATTGACTGCACTAAGTCCAGCTTGGCTTTAATGGAAAAGTTGATAAAATTGGTATCAACCAAGATGTGGTAAGGTGGGCCCAGTTGTGTATTATACTGGAAGAATAAGCAGGAAGGGTGCTGGGGGACTTCTCTTTCCTTTAATGTGCTAGGATCTTTCTTTCCCTTCTTTTTAGGTTTCAATCTGTCCTTTTCTTTAAGCCTCTGATCCCTGAGACTAAGCATTCGCTTCATGGTTGCATACTTCCTTGTTTTCTTTTGCTTCCCCATGCTCACACCACACTCTTGTTTCTTCTGGAGTCACCCTAATTTTAGCCTTTATATTTAGTTCTGTACTGCATTTTGAATTTTAGTTTTTAGATTTTATTTTGGTTTTTGGATTGAGGCTTATCTTTTGTAAACAGAGATCCAAATGTTTTCATACCAATGGTTGGAAAGATTATTCTTCCTCTATTGAATTGACTTTGCATCTTTATAAAAAAATCAGTTGTCCACTTATGAGTAGATCTGTTTCTCAACTCTTTCTCCTATTTTATTGCTCTATTTCTCTGTTATTATACCAATGCTGCACAGTGTGGCTTTATAATAAGCTTGAAATCAGATAATGTTAGTCCCAGCCTTCTTTCCCTTTTCAGAGTCATTTTGATGTCATTGGGGCCCTTGCATTTCCATTTAACTTTTAAAATCAAGTTGTCAATTTTTCCAAAAACTTCTGGGATTTTGATTATGTTAAATGTTTGGTCAATTTATGGAAAGTTGACATATTAACAGATTCTGATCTTTTCCCCAATGGATATAGGGTACCTCTTGATTTACTTAGGTCTTTTTTGATTTCTCTTAGCAGTATTTTGCAGTTCCTAGTACCTGAGTCTCACACATCCTTTCTCAGATTTATTCTTAAGTATTTTGTATTTTTGATGTTATTGTAAATGATGTTTTTAAATCTAAGTCTTCAATTGTCCATTTGCTAGTAGTTTCCTCATACACATGCCCTGAGCTGAAGTCTGCTGCACTCTGGAGGGGGAGCCTCTGCCAGGCTTTGCAGCTTTGCCCAGACAGTTGTCTGTCCAGTGCGCTGCTCTGTGACATGGAGCTGCTGTAGCCTCCTTAGACCCTCATTTCTGTGTTCAGAACTCAGGAGCCCTCTGGCCTTTGCATTTCCCCTCACTGCATAATGTCCTAGAAACTCTTTAAAGGCAGTAAGCTGAGCAAAGGTAGCACATCTTCATTTGTTTCAGTTCCTTTTTGTTGCTTGATGTTCAGGGTCTAATTGTCTTCTTTTTGTGATATTAGCAGACATAAAGGCTTATGAGTTCGATTTGTTACTTCATCAGGAGCTACACATTTTTACCTCTGTCCTGTCGTTTTTTAATTTAGGTGGAATAATATTTGTAAAAGAAACATTCCTCCACTATTTCATTACCCCAAGAGTTTATTTAATAAATAAAGGATAATGATCTGATTCTTTCTTGTCTTTTATCACCTTTAAAAATGATGGGCTAATTATTTACTATTTTCCAAAGGCTTTTTTTCTTTTTGTGTCATAAGTTTAACATGGTTGGTGCATCTTTATCTATTGCATTATTTATTCCTATTTTTGCTTGCTTTCCCCCATCTTTGGCCTCTGAGATGCTTTTCATGTTGGCTCCTGAGTTTTTATGATATGACCCCACTAGTCTCTGAGAGTTTTATTAAACTCATTGAGACAATTCCTACACCCAACCTCGACACATCCATTTTTCAAAAGAATTCTTAGATAAGGTACTCAATCAAAAGTCCTGTTTTTATGGTGTCAGTCATTGTTTCTTGTCTTTTTGGTAGATATATTTAGGAAATATTTTTTTTAAGATCTAATACATTTTGAGTTCATACTGACAATTCCAATTCAAGTTAAGAACTATAGGCTTTTCACTTAACTTTGTGGATTTTTTTTTTTAATGTGTGTGTATGTCTCCTTTTTCTATACTAAACGTTCTAATTCACAATGTCAGGGATGGATTTTTTTTCGATATGTACAATAATATGAAACCAGCACACTCAGAATTAGTATGATTCCTAAATCAGTTTCAAGTATTTTTGGAATTTTTTTCTCCTGGTGATATTCCCTCAGAAATGGATAGCCAAATTATACATTTTCCCCCCAAGAAACTATTTTAAACTCACTCTGTTCTTTGTATGGTTATGTCAACAACTTGATAGATTCATTTTGCAAACTTGGCTTTAGATGTTAGTGTTAACTTTTCAAACATTTCTTGGTTTTATTTTGTATGGATACTATAGAAAAAATCTATGTGGTTTGAAAATCAAATCCTATAAGACAGGAGATGTTCAGGGGAGTCTGTCTCCTGTATAATTTGTGTATTTATTCTCTCTGTAATCATCACTCTTGTTTGTTTTTGATTTATTACATTTATTTATTTATTTATTTTGAGACCGAGTCTCACTTTGTCATCCTCAGTAGGGTGCCGTGGCATCACAGCTCACAACCACCGCAAACTCTTGGACTCAAGTGACTCTCTTGCCTCAGCCTCCCAAGGAACTGGGACTACAGGCGCTGGCCACAACACCCAGCTGTTTTTAGAGACAGGGTCTCACTTTTGCTCAGGCTCGTCTTGAACTCCTGAGCTCAAGCAATCCACCAGCCTTGGCCTCCCAGAGGGCTAGGATTACAAGCATGAGCCACTTCGTCCAGCCCAATTTATTATATTTATAAATGTAAACAAATTATATATAATACCAATAGCTATATATTATATAAACAAAATAGGATACGTATCCATATTGCTATTTTTGATAGATAAAGGTATATATACTAAATTCATGTAACTATATTTTATGTTGTGTGTACTTACATATTTTACTATGTCTCCCAGAGCACTTTATTAGCAGTATATGTCAATATTCTTCATGCAGCACTTCATCTGCATAATACTCTCCTGTGTGAAGGAACCACTGTTTATTCAATCAGTTCTCAAAGAATTTTTTTCTAAGTCTCTTATTATTACAGATAGTGCTGTATAAAAGGTCTCGTATGTATGTCTTTTTATGTTTTTACCAGTATATCTTTGGTATAGATTTTGAGAAGTAAGATTGCTAGGCTAAAGAATAAATGCATATGTACTTTTCCTGGAAAAATATCACCAAATTTCTTCCCATACAGACTGCACCCATTTGCATTAGCTCTAGAAAGGTGTGAGTGTCCAATTCTTCACAGCCTTGCCAACAGAATATTCTGGCAAACTTTTAGACTTTTCTAATCATGTAAGTGAGCAATGTCATCTCACATATATTTTTCTGTTTTAAGGAAATAACTAAAAGCTTACAGAAAATTTGCACCAATAGTTCGAGTAACTTTTCCAGACACTGTCTGAGAATAAGTGGCTGACGTGGCTCCCTGACCACCATATGTTTCAGTGTGCATTTCTTAAGGACACGGATATTTTCCTACGTAAACAGCAGTTGATCCAGGAAGTTAATGTTGACCCACTACTACTGTCAGACCTCATTCATGTCTGCCAACTATTCAGCAATATTGAAGTGGTTCTCAACCTTCCTAATGCCGCAGCCCTTTAATACAGTTCCTGTGGGTCGCGACCCACAGGTGAGAACCGCTGCTTTAGGGGAAAGAGATCCAAGATCTCAAAACGCTTTTGTTCCCCATGTTGCTTTAATCTTCAGTCTTTTTTTTTTTTTTTAACTTCCATAACTTTTACTCTTTCAACTCTGGTTCTTTTGTAGCATGTAACTCAATTTAGATTTGTTCAATGTTGCCTCGTAGTTAAATTCACGTTCTGCATTTCTGGTGGGAATATCGCAGACACAGTGCTGTGTTCTCACAGCTTCCTCTCAGGTGGTCCGTGATTCAAATTTGTCCCTGTTACTGGTGAGGTTACTTGGATTACTGACTTAAATGGTATCTTCCTGCTTCTTCACTGTAAATTAATTTTGTCTTCCTTTGCAATTAATAACTATTTAGTTGAGAGATACTCTAAGGCTGTATAAATAAACCATCTCCATCACATTTGCACCTGCTAGTTTTCGTATCCATTGATGTTTCTTGACTAAATGAATTATTGCAACTAATAGAATAGTTGCCAAATGATGATTTTTCTATTTTTATATCTCCCCCTAATGAATTAATTGTCATTTTTCTACAAAGAACACTTTCTTTCTCTTTATCTCCTTATTCATCTACTTATGCCATTATGGATTCATGAATCCCTATTTTATTCAATGGTTATAATTCTTTATCACTATGATTTGCTTTGATGCTAAAATTGTTATAGACTCAGGCAAGGAGGGCCCTTTGAGTTGCTTTTGATACCTTTGTGATATGTCCGCAGCATTCTCTGAGCACTTTCCTACTTAGAGCACAACAAGATGTTCCAGCTATGTAATGCTCTTCTTGGCCCAACCTTATAATCAGCCCTTTTTCTAAAGAACCCTGGTGTTTTATCAGGAGGAATGAAGTTAAGAAGCCAAAATTTAGGCACTGATTGTATTCATCATTATTGAATGTTTTATTACTCTAAGGCCTTCTCAAAAGACCACGTCAGAGACTATATGTATAAACAGACTAGCAAATACGTGTTGGTGTATTTCTTTATCTACACACATTTACATCTATAGCATTTTTCTCTTTCTCTATCCAGTCCACAGGTATTTCCAATTCTAACCCAATGTCATAGGCTTTATTCTAGTTTTATCTCTTTCTGATTTGTAACTTCCTTCATGAGAAAACTGGCTCTCATTAACCTCCATCTATCCACACAGAGCCTCTTATCCATGGGGGATCCATTTCAAGACTCCCAACAGGTGCTTGAAATCATGAGTAGTACTGAGCCTGATGGCATCGGTAAGAACGTATTTCTGTTCATGCTTTCTGCCCACTCCTTTAATGCCTTTTCCATTTTAATAAGCACTTACACAGCGTGTTAGTGACTTTTTCAGTTTGAGGGACAACAGCAAAACAAACATGAAATTTCTATACAATTTGATATGTTTACATCAACCCAATCAACATGGCTTTTGCCTCATTACTTGATTATTGTGTTAAGACATTTATGTTTTCCACTTGACAGATTTGACTTGTGCCCTTGTAAATTAAAAAATCAACACATTGTACCCCATATATACATAAATGTGTTCATGATCTATGTGTATATGACTTAATAAAAAACATGAATTTCTTTCTCCTTCTTCATAATTTCACAAATAGATTTTTTTCTTAGTGTGGATCTCAGCAACCTCAGTGTACAATTATTTTCCTCTTTCTTCATTAAGTTGAGAACTTACCCCTTTTCACTTAAACTAAGGAAGCATGTTATAGTTTCTCTTTGACATATGTGAATTGTCAGCATCACTAATTGTGTGCTTTTGGGCCATTATTAAGTAAAATAAAGGCTGCTTGAAATAAGCACTTATTATCATAACAGTAGAAAGAGAACCAAGATGGCTACTGAGTAACAAACAGATAGCATTTTTTTTTTTTTTTTTTTACTTCCATAACTCTGGCTAGAGAGATAATTCATGTTCTGGGTAGGACAGAGCAGAATGGCACAATATTTCATCATGCTATTCAGAATAGTGCACAATAAAAAGCTTATGAATTAGCTTGGTGCCCGTGGCATAGTGGTTAAGGCTCCAGCCTCATGCACTGAGGGTGGCAGGTTTGAACCTGGCCCGGGCCAGCTAAACAACAATGACAACTGCAACAAGAACAAGAACAACAACAACATATCTGGGTATTGTGGTAGGTGCCTGTAGTCCCAGCTACTTGGGAGGCTGAGGCAAGAGAATCGCCTGGGCTCAGGAGTTTGAGGTTGCTGTGAGCTGTGATGCCACAGCACTCTACCAAGGGTAAGAGTTTTTTACTCCCCCCCCCAAAAAAAGGTTATTAATTGCTTATTTCTGGACTTGTTCATTTAATATTTTCCAACTGTAGTTGTCTGCAAGTAATTGCAATTTAGGAAAGGAAAGCTGCAGATGGGGGAGGACTACTGGTCTTATTTGTATATAGTATCCTTTGTGCCTGAATGTAACTAATCTGCCATCATTGCTGAAACTTCTTCCACTCCCCAACCCCTGCACCCCAACCCCTACTCCCTCGGCCACTGCCACCATGGGGCCCCCTCCCTCCCTGCTCAGGCTCTGACACCCTGTACCAGGCCATGCAAACATCTTTCCATCCTGACCACACAGCTTAGGTCCAGTTCCCCACAGTGAGCTGGCAGCCCACCCCATCCAGATCACTGCAGGCTGAGTTGTGCCTGTCCCGCTCAGTGCTGTGATAGCTTTGGGACTCTGTAAGGAAGGAAAGACATAAAGGCAGCCAGGCAATCAGGAAGGAAGGAAAGAGCTTTAATTTCTACGTTATGAGTAAGAATGAACAGACTTTCAAACATTTAACACACCACTTACGTTTTGTTTTGTGTGAACTATTAACATCCAGCAATTTTGTTAGACATTTATTTGCTATACATCTCTTTTTAAGGAACTCTATATATTAAGAATATTGCTCTTTTGTCTGTAATGTAAATATCTAATACGTTTTCAGAATTTGTCTTTAGTTTTTTCTTTACTTCTTTTTCTCTCACCCAAAAGTTTTTATGTTACATGATTTATATTTTTTCCTCTAGACTTTTAATCCATGTTGAGGAATGTCTCCCCTTCAAAAAAAAAATGGGCTGGTTGCTTTTTCATTGATTTTCAACTTGAATAGATGTTGGACAGGTTATTTTTGTGGAGAAAGAACCTGACTCAACCTGTCTCCTCACTCTTTCAGCTGGAGTCCAAGAACTGGAGTCACGCCTCCTGGTACCTGGAGATTTATTAATTTTGACAGGGAACAAAGTGCAGATGCCATGTGATGCCGTTCTGATCGATGGCAGCTGCGTGGTAGATGAAGGCATGCTGACAGGTGGGTTCTATCTGCACAGCCTCAGCGTCTCTGGGCTGAGCTGGGCTCCACGCTACCATGGTCCCTGCTCTGCCTCCCACTGCAAAACAGGCTGCTCTGGGACCTTCCTATTTCCACAAATCCCGGTCCTGCTGGGGATGGATCTGAGAGTTCAAATTAAAGCTGCTTTCTCCGTGCTGAATTTGATACAGTCATAACTTTTTGAGTGTTGAGCATTTTCTTCTTGAACAAAAGATTACTACAACCCTCTCGTTTTACCATAAAAGATCATAGGGATCATTAGGTTTTTCAGAATTGTCTGTGACTTTTATATGTAATATTTTTACGTAAAATGTCTTCCAATAGACTTGGAGAGTTTGAAAACCACCAATGACATCCTGAATCTCAGGGTGTTTCTCTCCATGTTCTTCTGGGCCTGTCTTGAAAATGTTATAAAGTTTGTGATGCAGCATTTGGTAAATCCGCTACTTCTAAAACACACGTTACCTATTGTGCACCAACTGTATTCCATTTTTTTTTTTTTATTGTTGGGGATTCATTGAGGGTACAAGAAACCAGTTTACACTGATTGCGTTTGTTAACTATATTTCATTTTTAATAGCATGCTGGAACTGGAGGGACCTTGAAGGTCACCCTCTTCACAGGTGAGGTCCAGAGGGGAGTGACTCACTCAAGGTCATCACTTTGATTTTTCACTCACACAGCTTAATGGTGAGATGTTGTGGCAACATTTCTGTAAGATGAAGAAGAACCATAAAGTCTTTTCCAGAAATTAAATGGGGGGCTATGAATGCACAATTGGTGTACTGTGGTACCCATTAAAAGTACAATTTTTTTTTTTTTTTTTTTTGAGACAGAGCCTCAAGCTGTCCCCTTGGGCAGAGTGCCATGGCATTACAGCTCACAGCAACCTCCAACTCCTGGGCTCAAGTGAGTCTCCTGCCTCCGCCTCCCAAGTAGCTGGGACCACAGGCGCCTGCCACAATGCCTGGCTATTTTTTGGTTGCAGCCATCATTGTTGTTTGGCGGGTCCAGGCTGGGGATTCGAACCCGCCACCTTAGGTGTACGTGGCTGGCGCCTTAGCCAGCTGAGCTATAGGCGCCAAGCCTAAAAGTACAAATTGAATCCATTTTTCTCAGGCAGACAATAAAGGCATGAAATGGAGATGGGAACACACATCTCTCTACTATATGAACTTTTTAAAGAGCATAAAACATGGCAGATCATGAGGTCAGCTTCCTTTCTCCCAAGAATCCATAGATTCATAAAAGTCTATAATATTGGGGCCTTTGCAATGCCAGGTACCATTTTCCTAATCAAAGTAGTCCCAGTGCCCCAGAGTATAGTTCTATTTTATAGTTCACCCTGCAAAGACTAAAGACTAGCAAGACTTTAAGCTTGCTGCTCAGGACAGGCCATAGTTCTCTTCACAGCTTCATTCAGCACCTTGTATTAGCTCTTCAGCCCAAGGCAGGATGCCCCTCCCACTGCTCTGACAAGGTTATCTGGTCCCCATTGTCAGATCCAATGGATCCTGTAAGTCTCTCATCTTCTTGTCCATTCTGTTGCATTTGACTATTCTGACCATCTCTCCTTCTGCTCTAGCTCTCCTCTCCTCTCTCTAGCTTTCTAAGGTGACACTCTCTCTCCAACTTCCTCACGGCTGACCACACCCACGCAGTCCCTTGTGCCGTTCCTATCCCTCCATCTCCCGAGTTGCTGCTGCTGTTCAGGGCTACGGTGTTGTCCTTGCCTCTTCTTAACCCAGACATGGTCCCCATGCAGTCTTGTCTCTTTCCGTGGCTTTAACTTTAGGCTAATAGACTTGACTAAATATCACAAGTGAAGCCTTTCACCTGAGCTCCAGCTCCAACCCTCTCAGTATCTACAAGGAATCTCAACGCGGTCGTTCTACAAGGCAGCTTCAGCTCATGGTGGCAGAAGGGTGATTCTTCCTATCCCACTATAATCCCTATCTTGATGAATAAAGCCACCCTCTGCTCACCTCCCAAGTCAGGAGCCTGGAAGCCATTTAAATTCCTCTATCCCTGTAACCTGACAATATGAAAATGTCTTCAAGTTTTGTAGCATCTTCCATATTTCTTGAGTCCAGCACTTCCTTTCAATTCCCATAGCCAGGGCCTAGTTCATACTTCATCCCTTCCACCCGGGACTCTGGTCACTTCCCAGCGGCATGTACAGCCTCCAGCCTCACCAGACTGCAGTTCACTCCCTCTACTGTGGCAGAGTGCGCGCTCTTACACATACATATGATTCACCTGTGCCAGTTTCAACTTGTTTGTTCCATCTATGGGGATTTTACATTTCTAGATTTTTGTGTGTTTCAAAACTTTCATACAATGACCCGTGTATTGCTCTCCTGATTAAAACATTTAAATATCTCCCCACACTCCTTCAGCCACCAATACCTTTAGAAAAATGTTTAAGTGTTTAATATGGTGCAACTGGGACTGGCCATGCTTAGGCTCCTATGTAGCTCTCCCGGCCCTTGTCACCCACACCCTACATTCTAGACTGTACACCTTGCTATTCCCTAAATATTACTTCCAGCTACCTTCCATGTTTGCTTTACAGTACTCAGTCTTTATAATACTGCATTATACCTATTTGTTTGCATTTCTGTCTCCCCCGCCCAACTACAGACTTCTTAGAAACAAGAGCTATGCTTATCCTTATATCCCTAATATCTAGGGTAGTCTCTGCCACCTGGAAGGCTCACAGCAAATGTCTGCTGTGTGATGAGTGAGTGCAGGCATGAGGCAAATGAGTGAAGGCTTTTACCCCACAAAATGAGGTGGTTGTTTTCTGCAGGAGAGAGTATTCCAGTCACTAAAATGCCATTACCCAAGATGGATAGCTCTGTGCCCTGGAAAACACAGAGTGAAGCTGATTACAAACGCCACGTCCTCTTCTGTGGAACAGAGGTGATCCAGGCCAAGGCCGCGAGCTCTGGGATGGTGAGAGCAGTGGTGCTACAGACAGGTTAGCACCAGACCCTTTGTGTTGCTAGTTTTAATGAGACACTTCCAATCAGTTTGTTTAGTGCCTTAAATGTATTAGGTAAAGAGCAGCCTCTAGACAACAAATCAAATCTATGTAAATTGATGTATTTTACATGTCAGTTGAACTATGGTATATGCAGTAAAAATGATAATCTTGATGACAGTAATTACCACTAATGTGCTTTTCAATCAGTAAACAATTTCCACATATCAAACCAGCAGAGCAAAAATGTCAGCTGTCCCCCGTTATACTTCAATAGGCTGAAGCCACACAATGCAAGTGAACTTTTAAAAATAACATAGCTAGTCATCGACAGAGCTGGACCTAGAACTCAGATCTTCTAATTCCAAATCCCGAGTTCTTTCTAGGCAGGCAAAGCTAGAAACCACTGAAAAATACTAGACAACTGAGTCCATTGGTATTTAGTTGGCCATTTAACTTTAATTCAAGTGGTATGTGTGTGCGCTTCTGAGTCATTTCTTTGAAATAAAGTTATATTTGGAAAAGTTGCCTCTTCTCTAGTTTCTGTCTCTGGCAGGCATTGAAATTGGAGGTATGGGAAAGGCAGGCCTGAAAGAGTACCAGGCTCAAGAAAGACTTTCCATTCTAGCACTTATGTGTTTTTCCATTTATCTTTCAATTGCCTTTGGGTTTAAACACTGTTTAAATGTCACTAGAGGAAATCAGAGGCAATGCTGAGGCTTAGAAGAGCAGTAGCCATTGGGTCCGTCACCCTGAGAGTGGGATGTGTATTTGCTGTTTCAGGTTTCAACACTGCCAAGGGGGACCTCGTGAGATCCATTCTCTACCCCAAACCAATGAATTTTAAACTCTACAGGGATGCCATCAGCTTCCTCCTGTGCCTTGTGGGGACGGCCACCATCGGCATGATCTATACCCTGTGCGTCTTCGTGCTCAGCAAGGTCAGCTGCCTTTGCTGTTTTGTTACCTGCGCACAGACCTTTGCCCTGTGTGATTCATACTGTGCTGGGTGTTCATACTGTGCATGTGGGCAGGGTTGACAGCCTGGGAAACAAAAGCTAATGCTGAAGCCTGTGTCTAGCCTTCCAGTTCCCCAGTATAAGCAACTGATCACTAAGTTCCACAATAACAATCAGATTTTGTGGGATACAACAATTTGTGTATTGAGATATGAACATCCCTCTCTACTCTTCCTCATGCTTCTCCCTAAACCATTTTTCCCTTTTCAATCTGAGAATACATCTATTTCTGTAAAGTGGTAGTTTTGTATCTATCAAATGAGGAATTTTAAATAAAACGGGATACTCAGGGTTGGTAAGGGCATGGCCAACTGGTGCATTATTCTCTGCTGATAACACTATGAATCATTACAAACCTTTTTACTGCACTTTGGGAATAAGTATCGAAAGCTATAAACATGGTCAGACCCTTTCGCCTAATGATGCCATTTCTAGAAATTTAATCTAAACAAAAAAGAAGGAAAAAAGTCCCATGCCATCTATTACTAATTTATCTATCATGGTTAAAGAATGACGACTATCTTCCAGGAGCCTCTAGAGGAGGTGGTGAAGAAAGCCCTCGACGTCATCACAATCGCAGTGCCCCCTGCTCTGCCTGCGGCCCTGACCACAGGCATTATCTACGCCCAGAAGAGGCTAAAGAAGAAAGGCATCTTCTGTATTAGCCCCCAGAGGATCAATGTGTGTGGACAATTAAATCTTGTCTGCTTTGACAAGGTACGTGTGCCTCATCCTTACTCTCAGTGCCACCTTTATCATCACTGTCATCTTGGATAGTGTTTTTACCCTCTTGCGAGGCAGGGAATGTAGAATGTGGACACGTGGTTTCATGATTATCTCTGGTTGGCTGTGTGATCTGGGATGCACATGTCTCTTGGGCTCTCAGATTCTAGGGTTTAGAGGAGTGGATGGGGGACCAAATAGAAGAATTTTAAAGCCCCTCCAACTTCAATATTCTATGAAAAACAATTAATGAAAAAAACATTTGTCCGGCTGCAGTCAAAACCCTCATACAAAGAACAAAATTTGAATCTTTAACTACGGTCACTGCTGTGCCCCTAATGCTGTATTTCTTGGCATATAGTCCATGCTTAATAAGTATGTATTGAATTAATGAGTGAATCAGAAAGGAAGAGTTTAGTAAACCGTGTCTTACTGGGAGCCTTGGCTCCAACCTTTACTACATTTTCCCATCTACAGTTTATTGCTTAAAATTACACTTATTCATGGCCAGTTATTCCTGACCAGCTTCATATCCTACACCCTCTCTTGAAGGTGGGAGTTTTAAGAGGCTAAGTTAGAGGGGTCCTCATGGGCAGGTGAGCATTGGCAAAGGCATGGGGGGCAGGAAAGCAACACCGTGTGGTTTTCATTAGAGCAGGACATTAGTAACGGGAGAGTATATCTGTGGACCTTGAATGTCTGATTAGAACATTTTTACTTATTCTTTAAGCAGCAGAAAGCCATTGAAGGTTTTGTTGTTGTTGCCTTAATTTCTTGTCATGGTAGAATACACAGAACATAAAATTTACCATTTTAACCATTTTTAAGTGCAGTGTTAACTGACATTAAATACATGCTCGCTGTTCTGTGACCGTCACCATCATTCTTATCTTCCCCAGCTGAAACTGTAGCCATTAAACAATGCATTGAAGGTTTTGATGGCAGAGAGTTAATGAGATCTGAGCTGTGTTTTATAATTGTTGGAGTATCAGAAAGATCTACCAAGAGCAGAAAGTTAATACGGCTCTTGCCACTGTTTTGATATTATTTTGTGATCAAACTAGCATCGTAAGAAAAGACAGTCTGTTTAGGAGATCGTATCCTTGGCCTTGGAAAAAGAAACAGGAATGAGAAAGATAACTATGAATTGAATTTGAATAAAAAATGAGAAATAACCGTGAATAATTACCATTACTATTAGCTTTTAGTATATGCTAGATATTAAATCATACACCTAACATGATCCCATTTAATTCTCACAACAACTCTGTGAGATTCTGACCATGTTACAGATAAGGCCCCCGATGGTTAGAAGATGAAGCCGTTTTCCCAGGTCACACAGCTGGTGTTTGAACCGCCCTGCCATAGTGCTGAGAGAAATGCCAGCAAATGCTTTTACCAGATAGGCATCAAATAGCAAACAATGGCTTTAGTCTTTTCACAAGGAATGCCCTGGAGGGAAATATTCAACTCCAATACTTATTTCTGATGACATAGTCTAACTTCTGCTATAAAAACTGGGACGCTCTCAGTTTATAACTCTTTTCTTTTTCTTTTTTTTTTTTTTTTTTAATTGAATGGTAACTATGTACATTAATGCACTTCCGGGGTACAGTGTGGGGTTTTCACATACAATTGGAAACATTTCCATCAAACTGGTTAACACAGCCTTCGTGTCATTTTCTTAGTTATGGTGTTGAAACGTTCATATTCTACTCTTAGGAAGATTCACTTGTATCCTTGTACGATAAACCACAGAAGTGATCCCTCCAATCCCCCTCCCTCCACCCATCATTTTATAACTTTTATAGGCTTACCCCGGCCTTTTCCTTCCATTCGGCCTACCATTACACCCTCAAAACAGTTTTCTGAGGTTGTGAGGAAGGCCCCGTTCTCTTCACCCTACCCTGGAGGGTGTTAAAGTTCAAAGAAATTGTCCGTTTGTCAGGTAACTGGTGTGAGCTCATCCAAACTTCCACCCAAACCTCCTTTTCACGTCCCCCCTTGAAGTACTGGTCGGGATAATATGTTTGTGAAGTACATTTTCTTATTAAAACCTACCTTATTTGTCTTTGTGATAGAGTCTTCGCTGTGAAGGTAAACCAAGTTATTTGTCTCTGTTTAGACAGGGACCTTAACGAGGGATGGCCTGGACCTCTGGGGAGTTGTGCCCTGTGACGGGAATGGGTGAGTGCCCTGGACAAATGGCATTGCAGTTTCATTTTCCAGATTTCCCCATTTGCTCTTGAAACTACTAATGGAGACGTTTTAGCATTGGCTTTGGTGGACAGTGATTGTCAAAATGTCTTCATTTAATTTCTCCTCTTCAATTCTTCTAGGACTTTAAAAAACATGCGTATTCCCCTGGTCCCCCACCTGTCCCAGGCCAGTCACAAAGGTAGGAGGTAGTGGGGAAGTTTTGACACATTCAAATCCTTGCTGAAATGCAATTTGCTGGCTGGGCACAGAGGCTCACGCCTGTAATCCTAGCACTCTGGGAGGCTGAGGCAGGTGGATTGCCTGAGCTCAGAAGTTCAAGACCAGCCTAAGTAAGAGCGAGACCCCATCTCTAAAAAATAGCCAGGTGTTGTGGAGGGCACCTGGAGTCCCAGGTACCAGGGAGGCTGAGGCAAGGGAATCTCTTTGAGTCCAAGTGTTTGAGGTTGCTGTGAGCTATGATACCAGAGCACTCGACTGAGGTTGACAAAGTGAGACTCTGTCTCTAAATAAATAAATAAACAAAAGGGAAAGAAAGAAATGCCATTTTCTTTAGCATATTCATCGGAGACCTGAGGTTGACCCCATTTAAGTAATTTGGACAAGACTAGGACACTGCCCTTCAGGGAGGCAGGATTCTTTTATGCAAGCTGAAACATCTTGATATGCTAGGAGGAAGGAGAACCCTGTACTGACTTTTGTACCCGGGATTTCAGGAAGAGGAACATTTGTGGAATCATAGCTAGTGGACTCATTTTTCTTAGTATTTTGATTCTGGGAACTCCACTTTCTGGCTGCTGTAAGCTGCTCTTCTCTAGCAAGAAAAGACTTCCTTTTGGCAATGTTCGGCAGGGTGTGATGATTTGTCTCTCTCCCTCCTGAGGCCCTCTGGTGGTCATGTCTGAATTTGTGTTTCTGCTTGCTTTTTCTCCTGGCTGCCCACCTCCCGTGTGATCAGAACGTGAAAGGGGACACGTTTGACATTTACCATTTTGTTTGAAAATGCAAGTCTTTTTGTCTATTCCTTAACACCCTAAATCACAAAGCGTTTTATTCATGAAAGGTTCACTGTGGTCCTTCTGCAGTGTGCAGATGACATACAGTTTATCCATGAAATATTTTTAATAACATTTGATTTGAATATGTCTTATACGCAAGTCTCATGCCTAGCTTAAAAAGTAATCCTGGTACTTCGAACCACTTTAGTTTACAGAGGAAGCCTTTTACGGCGTTAAATGTTCCAAAGTTCTTTCAATTTTTCCTGGAGAATGGATTTGAATACACACCCCATCTCGTTGTTTGCTAGTAATTTTCTTTTTCAACTTCTTGAAGATATGTATGCGTTTATTCCAATGTGTGAGCATCTTGAGAGCAATCTTCTTTGTTCTTATGCTTGTGCTCCTCATGCCACAGCACTGTACCAGGCACACAGTAGGCGCTCAGTAAATGTTTGTTCACCTAAAATGAACTAAATATGTTCTGTATTTTGAATGTTCTACTTATTGAATTAACATCATGTTATTCATAAAACTATGGAAACTTTCTATTTCTAAAAATGACTTGTTATATTTAACTAAAAGCAAGTGATACAATACACGTTTAGGTAACTTATTGATTAATTAGGCCTACCTTGCTTCTCTCTCACTCCCCCACTTCCTTCCTTCCATCTAAAAGATCACAATGATTTTAATTGTCACAATGTAATCAAACGATTACAATGGCAATTTACACACCTTTTAGGTGCAGGAAAGAGCTACAAGAAGGACTCTATTCAACAAATTCAAATATTGTGATTTGGTTGTTTGTACCCTCAGATTAACCTGGAATTAAAAAAAATGCACTGAATAGTGAAAGAAAACTTTAAAAAGAATAGAAAATGTTATGAAACAATAATACATAAAAGCAGCAATTTAAAAATTTTTTTTACCTTGATGTATTTAATTAATTAGATGAGAGAAAAAATAGAATTAATTCTAGGTAAGACGTAAGCACCAGACTTACAAAGTATTACATATATTTTTGTTCGTTGTTATCTGATAATTTTGAAATCTTTTCCGTAAAGGGCCTGATTGTTGTGCTAGATACGTCAAAGGACCATCAAAGTCTATCAGAGATTGATAAATTAGAAATATTTGAATAAAAATACAAATACGGTAGAGAATGGTAGAGAGAGGTATGCATTTGTTGAGCTACTCAGAGTCTGACTCAATACCCTGGAACTCAGAATTATATACTTAGAATTACTGACTGATGACGATGTACGTATCATTGTAAAAATAAGATTTTTCTTCTGATTTTTGCTTTTCTTTTCTGATCTGTGCTTGCATTGCTGTGTTAACTATATTGCTGGTGGTCTCTTCCTTTTAGATATTTATGAAAATACATGGGGCATGTTGTCAGCCACTAAGACGAGTTGCTTTTCTGGCACAGAATAGTGGATGTAACCAACAGGGTCAATAATAAGCCCAAAGATTTTTCAACTCTTAGTGTTACAAAAGGAATCTTGAATGCAAAATCCAGGAGGATATGTGACGGAATTATGAGTTAACACTGTGATGTGCTTTCTTTCAAAACAAAAGGCTGGAGCAACCTAAGCAAACTAAGAAATGCAGTAGCCGTGTTATCAGGAGTGATAGTCAGATCCCGGGGACCACATTTTAAGACAAACTGACAAAAACCTTTCTAAGAAAGAGTAACCAGAAAGGTTAGAGGTTTGATAAAAGTGTGTGTTGGAGGAACAGCTAGAGGCGCCTCTGTATCCCAGAGAGGGGGCATGAAGGGGCCATGGCAGAGCGGATCCCTAAGTCTGCAAGAGGTTGACATGTGGAGAAGGAGGGGCAAGTCGATTCTGATTGGTTCCAAGAAATAGATTTTGCCTCAATGTGAGAAAAACCTTCTCCATTCAAGGATCCTCCAAACTGGATGGGCTGCTTTGTGAACCAAATACTACCGTGTACAATTAAGAAGAAGCTGGTTATCAGGGTTGCCTGGGCCTGAGGCTGAATTCAATGGCTTCCAGTCTGAATTAGTGAAAGAACCCTGCATATGACATTGAGTTGTATTTTAACAGATTTTAGATGAAGCCACTTTCTATAGGGAACGATGAGAGTAATGGCTGCCATATGGACACTAGAGGCCAGGGTAGAAGAGGGGAATACAGGGACCTTTTCAAATATGTTTTTAGAGTTTATTTCTTCACCATTACACCTTGCAGATTTGTTCATTCATTCACGCGCTTATTGACTGTCTACTGTGGGCCAAATATCACATATATCAGGAGACAGATATGAAAGATACAACCCTGTCCCGAAGGTTTGATTGAGGGAGATGAACATATATAGCTATAGATAACTGTACATAACTGTAGTATGAGCTACTCTGTTCTGTCCCACAGGATTGGAAAAAAAGTAGTTGGGAAGGAAGTGGAGAGGCTTACAAGTAAAGGTGATACTTTTAGTTCTTTTTAGACTTCTGAAATTAAATCAGTCAAGGAAGGGTGAAAAGAGGGGAAAAAAGAGCTTGAAAGAAGGTCAGTGACCTTTCTCTTACTCAGCAAACTTACCCAAGGATGGTGCCTAGAAAAAACTCAGTTTGGGGGGACTAGACAGTGGGTATACAATGGAACAAAGCATGTTTAGGCAGTGCCTGTGGCTCAGTGGGCAGGGCGCTGGCTCCATATACTGAGGGTGGTGGGTTCAAACCTGGCCCTGGCCAAACTGCAAACAAAAAATAGCCAGGCCTGTAGTCCCAGCTATTCAAGAGGCTGAGACAAGAGAATCAGCTAAGCCAGGAGTTGGAGGTTGCTGTGAGCTGTGATGCTACAGCATTCAACCAAGGGCAACAAAATGAGGCTCTGTGTCTAAAAAAAAAAAAATGTTCACCTCTAAGATGATCCATTTTGGCATGAAGGGTTAGAACTAAAAGTCTTTCCCGGGTGGCACCTGTGGCTTAAAAGGGTAGGGCGCCGGCCCCATATGCTGGAGGTGGCAGGTTCAAACCCAGCCCCGGCCAAAATAAAAAAAATTGAAGTCTTTCCCTCTTCTTTAGCTTCCAGGAAGTCCACAGCTTTGCATCAGGCAAGGCTTTGCCGTGGGGCCCGCTATGTGCAGCCATGGCCAGCTGCCACTCTCTGATCCTTCTCGATGGGACCATCCAGGGAGACCCTCTGGACCTCAAAATGTTTGAAGCTACTACTTGGGTGAGTCTCTGCTGTGCAGAGAATCTAAGAAGCTTCTTAAATGCCATAGCAACATAGGCTTTATAGCTGTTTCACAGTTACAGAACGTGAGTTTTCCAATGTGGAGAACGTTTGTCAGTGAGGGGAAAACTAATCCAAGCCTGGTTGCCCCATCTGCACAATGAAATTGATAAATTATTGTGAAGACTGGGTGGCACCTGTGGCTCAAAGAAGTAGGGCGCTGGCTCCATATGCCAGAGGTGGTGGGTTCAAACCCAGCCCCACCCAAAAAAAAAATTATTGTGAAGACTAACTGAGATGATGTATTAACAAAACCCTTGGTACTGTGCCTGGCACATATTACAGGCTCAGTAGTAAACACTGCTGTCTCTAGTACCTAAGGAGAACTCTAGTACCTCATGGTGACCTTAAGTTTTTATTCCTATTAATTTGGTATTGATTTTATTTCTAAGGCTGGAAACAACAGAGAGGAAAATCATTAAAGAATTTGTTTTGAGACAGAGTCTCATTTTGTCACCCTCAGTAGAATGCTGTGTTGTCCTCATAGCCTCATAGCCTCAGCCCCCCGAGTAGTTGGGACTGCAGGCCCCAAACACCCAGCTATTTTTAGAGATGGGGTCTCACTCTTTCTTAGGCTGGTCTCGAACTCTTGAGCTTAAGCAATCCACCTGCCTCAGCCTTCTAGAATGCAAGGACTACAGAAATGAGCCACACACCTGGTCTCATTAAAGAATTTTTATCAAGACTCTGAGCTAGGTTTAATTGCGAATGGTGCAGGGCAGGGATCTGGCTCTTCCAATTCTCACTTGGGCTGTGCTTTTGCTGACTGCTCAACCCTGCTAGGTCAGTTGTCTCTCATATTGGGGAGTTAGCTCCCATGACCATAAAATGAGAGGATTGAATTAGACCAGGAGTGTTCACATAAAACAAAATGAGACCAAAAAACCTGGAATCTTTTTTAAAAGGAAACATTATTCAGAAGTACCTTTTAGAAACTAAATACTCCAGCAAGAATGGCTCCTACTAAAAAGTCCCAAAATAACAGATACTGGCATGGCTGTGGAGTAAAAGGAATTCACATTCACTGTTGCTGGGGCTGCAAACTAGTGTAACCTTGATGGAAAGTGGTATGAGATACCTCAAGGAGCTAACAGTAGACCTACCATTTGATCCATCAATCCCAGTACTGTGCATCTACCCAAGGGGAAAAAAAAGACATTTTATGAAAGCTAAATAGTTGGAATTGCTCCAGTTGAAAGGGAAGATGGGGCAGGAAGGTGGAGAATAGAGAGCACACAGACCCAGATACTTAGTTCTAAGCCCATCCATTCATCCTGCATATAGTTCTAGGTCCCAGTGATACACTGTGAGTGCCAGTAAGAAAGACAAGTTTCAGGGTTCCTTCCAGACCTCATAGAGCATTATTTCATAGTCGTCTGATTTTACTTTGCTAATCTTCCATCCTTTCTACGTTACTGATTCTGCATTTTTCAAGCACTCAACGGGATGATTACAAAGCACTGTGTTATCTTTAGGTAAAAGGTTTCTTTGACTATAATTTAGGGCAATCATTATAGTAATTACTAATGTTAACCAAGTACAGTACAGTCCCTGCCCTGCCCTGCCCTGAGGACCATCAATCCAAACAAGGCAGGCTGGCAATAGCAGGAGCAGCAGTGAACTCCAGGAAAAGACCGAAAGGTGCTTGCTTCACACTGATTAAGTCTGGCTATTCATACTCCCCACTTTCAAGTTAAGCTCTTCAGAAATGGAGAATGAGCCTTTATACAGCACATGCCAACGGAGAAAACAGGACAAATGGCATGAATAATTCAGAAGTGTCTGCCCTTCAAGTTTTTTTTTTTTTTTTTAATTAAATCGTAGCTGTATACATTAATACAGTCATGGGGTACAGTGTGCTGCTCTTATATACAATTTGAAATATTTTCATCAACTAGTTGACATAGTGATTGTGTTAAGACATTTATATTCTACATTTAGAAGGATTTGTGCCCTTCCAGTTTTGCGGCATTTCCAACGCTTTACCTTTTTCTGGGGCAGAAGAGGTCTGGTTCACCTCCCTGTAGCTGAGGAAAGAGACACAGAGCTACACTGAGGTGGTCTGAGCCTTTTTCTCAGGGGGAGGGTTTAAGCTTAGCATTAGTAGTTAGATAATAACTATGTCTCTACAATAAAATATCCCATTTGTGAAACAGGAAATGGCTATTTCTGGGGACGATTTCCACCTCAAGGGAGTGCCGGCCCAGGCCCTGGTTGTGAAGCCCTGCAGCACAGCCAGCCAGGTAAGCAGAGCCTGCTGCTCCCCCCACGACCCACACAGGGATACTCTGCTCTGACTATGGTTTTGAAAGGTCACAGATGTATCTTCTTTGACATCTGGGTGTGAAAATTGGTGAGACTTTTCCCCTTTTTTTGCCAAAAATCAGAATAGAGGCCGAGTAGTTAATGCCTGATAGCTGAGAGCTGTGTCAACCTGTGCCTCTTCATCCTTCATCCCTCAACCAGGTGCCTGTGGAAGGAATTGCAATCCTGCACCAGTTCCCATTCTCATCAGCCCTGCAAAGGATGACCGTCATTGTCCAAGAGATGGGGGGGGGTCGGCTGGTGTTCATGAAGGGTGCCCCAGAGAGGGTGGGCAGCTTTTGCCAACCCGAGACAGGTCAGTAAACAGAATTTTATTACAATTGACCAATCTGTAGTCAGGTAAATATGTCCCCATACCACTTCCTCTATGAGTCCAATTGCCTGCTGGTCATCATCAGTTGGGTGACTCATTGGCCTTCTAAATTCAATACCAAAATCAAGCTTATATTTCTCCCAATTTCCCATTTTGGTGAATGGTAACACCCTCACCCCCCAATTTGGGTGTTGTCTCTGATCTTTCCTCTCCCTCCTGCCTGTGTCTTGTGAGTTGCTAATCCATGACGCTGTCATGGGTCAATGTTGGCTTTCACCATTCTCGACCATTTCAACAGCTGGTGAATCAGCCTCGGCCTCCAGTCTCTTTCACTCTGATTTAGCCTCTATGCTGTGACCAGATTGGTCTTTCTATCGCAACTATGTTGCCACTTTTTTGCTCTGATTCTTCTGGTTGCTTCCCCGAAGGCTCCACTATAATCTCAGATTTCTTCAGGATTATCTATGAGGCTTTCATGACCTGACCTGCTTCCTTTGAGCCAAACTAAACACCTAGGGCTTTCTGTCTCATGCCTCCATGCCTGAGTGCGCAATGTTTCCCCAGCCAAAAAGCTCTTCCTTCCTTCCCCTAATCTCCTCCCAGTCTAATGTTGGTACCAGTAAGTACCTTTCACGGCATGCTGCAATTGCCTGGATCATTGCAATGATCTCATTCAACTGCATTATTAGTCTACTGGCTGTTACTCATTTAGATAGAAATCCTTAGAGCTGAGCTAGCAGTTTAATCTCTTCCTAGCCCAGGTCTGGCACTTTTCCCCTTTTTTGCTAAAAATCAAAATTATAGGCTGAGTAGTTAATTCCAGATAGCTAAGAGCTGTGTTGACCTATGATATAGATTCTCAATAAATGTTTGTTGGTTGAACTGGAGAAAAAAAGAATTCTATATTTTCCCTATTTTTTTTTTTCCAAATGCTTCCTTTTCATTTCAGTTTCACTGGACCCCAAAAGGTCAACTCTGACAATATAGTTATGTTTAGAACTGCTGCTTGTATGCACATCTTTGTAGAGGTGTGTTTTCTTGGGCAACAGTTAGATGTTTGTAAAAAAACTGCTTTACCAGTACTGGCCATGTAAATATTGGCCAGTACTAGTTTTGGCCAATACTAATCCTGTGTTACTTTCTAAACAGTACCAACTAGTTTTGTTAGTGAACTTCAGATTTACACGACACAGGGCTTTCGGGTCATAGCACTGGCCTACAAGAAGCTGGATGATGACTCCCATACCACTGCCTGGACAAGGTAAGTGGGAAAGCATTTTGACAAAGTCAAATGATTTGGTGGAAAAATGCACCAGAATGGGATGAGACTCAAGGGTTCTGGGTGGTAGATATAGTAATATAGCTTGCTAAAAATTTATTTGTGTACATAAAATATTCTTAACATTGGTCAACAGGAATATAGTCATTCATGCCATTCCTAAATCATGAAGCTAATGTGACTGAGAAATGTTTATGAGAAATAAATACATAAAATACAAAATATGATGTGATTTTACAGCTTTGTGAAAACAGACATATGAATACAACCAGTGTTTCAGAGTTTGAAATTGTGGTCATGACCCCACTTCTTTGTTTTTCATTCTAGTTGGTGGATTAGTGGGAAGTTATGAAACATAACATTTGCCTGAAAAAATATCTTGGTAGGAAATACACCGCTTAATGAAACAAATAAATATATCTTAGATTATATAATCTAGGTCAGCGGTTCTTAACCTGTGGGTCATGACCCCTTTGTAACAATGAAAATACATCACAGCCTTAAGAAGGTTGAGAACCACTGATCTAGGTAATGTTTGCAGAAAAAGGAAAAACTATTGAGGTCCCATACTGGAGAAAGTTTTGGTGTGTGTAGATTAAAATAGACATGCTCAGTAGCTGAAATAGACTGCAGGATTCAGGAATCCAACTTCATTTGCTGTGTGTGTTTTTTATAATTTTCCACTGGTTTTAGGCTGCCATGTTTATTTTGCCTTCAATGCCATTTCCAGTACTCTGTGTCAGCCACGACTGTTTACACTGCTATGGAGATAATCAAGGCTTATTTTCCCATGTAGGGTTTTAAATATGGAAGGTCTAATGTATTTGCTTTCAACTTTATCAACTAAAATGTTCTCTTGTTGTAACTGTGTTTTAGAACTCTTCTTTTGACATAGTAAAATAAAATTTATGCATCATATGTAACATTATCTGCACATATTCCTTGTCAAAATGAACATTATGCCTATTATATAGTAAAAATTTTAAAAAGGTATACCATAGAAGGTAATAGTTTTAACAACAGCTCAGCTGATGCCACTAAAAGAAAATGAAGTGACAAGTTGCTTGTGACAATGTATAGAATCATTGAGGCTGCAACAGCTTCAAAGGTAGGCTGATAAAGGTTTGAAGTCTCAAACACCCCAGGCGTGCTGCTGGTGAGGTCATTGTGAAATGGTTAACAACAACTCTTGGTAAAACTCTGAAGAAAATAGAATAATTTCTTCTCAACTTACATAGTATAGATAGTTATATTATTGCAAAATTGAATAGAATATTAAAAGTGTGAAAATGCTTTGTTTTTATATATAAAACAGAGCCAAGTATAATAAGTAATTTTATAATTGTTTAATATACAGTGACATTATATATATCATTATAATACAGTATATTATGTCATTATAACGGTTGTCTAAGATAAATAGTATAAGCCTAAAATGACTTTGGAAAATATTCCCATTTTTTAGCATTCCTAATGTCCAATAAAATACCGAAAGGTATGAGGAATGGAGGATAATTCTTCATGTTTATCAGTCATTATAGAAAATCTTGCTTAGATGCCACAACATCTCTGCTGAGAATGCCTGATGTGACCTTCTGACTTTACGAATGAGCCAAGTGAGGTCCATTAGGGGAAGTGGTTCATTGTGTGAGATTCTTCGACTTACTGGACCAGTCTCCCCAGGGGCAGCTCAATGTACTCCTGCAACCCTGGCTATTACAACTCTGGATGTTCGTTGTAATTTGATCAACCCATTTCAAAGTCACTCAAGACAGAATACTAAAAGTGAACTTTGAGATTTGATGTCACAGTTTGAAAAAGAGGAAATTTGTGTCCAAGGAAGGGGTGGAGCAGAATGAAACTTTATTTCCCGAGAGCCTGTTGCTAGGGATATAGCAAGGTTCTGGCTGCTATGCTATAGCTTATGACTATCATAATAAGATATTTGTGTATTCACAAGTTGCAAAGTCATGGTTTTAGAACTTCTAGATGTAACCGAGCACTGGCTATAGAGGCTCATGGGTAGTAGAGGATGGTGCAGACTATGGCACGTGGGAGAATACATGTCCTGCCTAAAGGCACAAAAATTCTAACTTTTCAAAATCTGGTATGGCCTAAACACAAGTTTAATGATAGAATTCGGTCTTAGGTCGTAATATGCCTCTTTTCTCTTAAAGCTATATCACCACAGGTATATGGATAACTAAATTAACTTCCTTGTCCTTTGCTAATTCCTGATTAGGACAGGACTTTCTTTCTGGGTATTTTGTTTTTGCCTCTGTTGTGTGTGGTTACTTAGGGTGTTTCTGTTCAAGGGTTATTGGCTCACTTTATGCATACTTCATCTTTTAGAAGTCACACGGATTTTAAGAACCTAAGGCATAACCAGAGGGATGACAGTGCTTCCTTTGTATTACACTCATCATTATTTATTATTTCAGAAAGAGCTTTAATGTCTATGCAGGAAGCAGGAGAGGATAGCATGCTAGTCTCAGGTGTAGAGTTTGAGAACTCTTAAGAAATTACTCCCTTTAATTTCTTGGTTCACAGTGAATACTCATGAAAAGAAGAATCATGTAACACTGGAACTGGCAGAGGCCTTGGAGATCCCAAGCTGAACTAGATCACCAAAGAGAACAGATGTTCTCAGGTCACGCAGCAAGGTAGTGGTAGGACTGAGATTAGAACTCTAGCTTCCTGACTATTGTCTGGGACCCCTCTGAAGGCCATAACCCAGAGAAACTAGAAATGCTAGTGCCAACATAGGCTATGGAAAATATTTGACCCTGCAGCCATTTTCTTGGCCTAACTTGGCACCTTGTGGTTGGCTGTATGTAATATGATCTCTGAAAATAACTAAAGCTTGAGGTCTGAGCACAAAGAACTTGAGAAAGTTTGGCAATCCTCAATTAGACATCAACTAGCTAAGTTATCCTTCAAAGACCAGATTAACCATCACCTTCCCCAGGAGGGTTCCTGCAATCACTTCACCCAGGAATAACTGCACCCTCTTCTCTGATTTCATGGGTCTTGATTTATACCTCTGCCAGGATCCTTTTCCCAGGCTTCCATAGAACTGAAGTGGTCATGTCTAAGTTTTACCTCCTGGTAGAATATGAAATCTCTGAAGTTAGGGGCTACTATAGTTTTTCCATATTCTCTCCTTCTTCTCCTCAGTGCAGTTCCTTGAACTCACTAATGGTAGAATTTTTGAAAACAGAAATGAATTTTTCTAGATTGTCTGGGAGAAAGAAGCCACATTAGTCTCAGAGCATTTCAAGGAGGCACACATTTGCTGAGCACTTTCTGTGAGTCTGGCAATAGGTGGGCATCGTTGAACACAGCATTGAGTCAACTGGGCTTCCCCTCAAGTAGTTGAGACTGAGTGACAGATCACAAAGCCAAGACTGGTAATATATGGACAAATAAAATATGAACTAAAGTGAGGCAGTGGTAATATAACAAGGGGGCAATTATTTCTATCTGATGAATCCTTTCTGGGAGAGTTACCATGAGAGCTGGGTCTCAAAATACTAGCAAATCATGGGGGAACTTATAACCTTTTCCGTGAATTAAGGAAGAATATCTCATAGCAGTCTAGAACAAAAGTCTAGAGATGGTTAAGTACAGAGACTATCCATGGTGACTGGTCCAACTTGACTTAAAATTAGAACGAGTGAAGAATTTAGTGATAGGCTGAAAAGATAGTTTGGAACCACCTTATAGAGAGACTTACATGTCAGGTTCAGAAGAGTGAGAAATGCCATCTCCCAAGCATGCTCTGAGCTGAGCAGTTCAAACTGTCCATGCTCTGGGGCTCTGATGGAGCTTCCTGGGAGCATCAGCTAACTGTAGTTCATGACCCTGGCTTATGTGAGACCCAGCAGTCAGACCAAATGCACAAGTGGCAAGCAAGTCAAGGAGCTTTCTAGTAGTGCTGTTTTCATTTGTGTTTCAGCCAGAATTGGGCAGTGCTGGCGTCCTGTTCTCATGTCTGCATGTAAGATGTATGAATCATGGAAGAATCTTTGAACTAATCTCAACTGTATTTACTGCTCTTGGTCCTTTAAAATGTTCCTGAAAATGTTCTTGTGGTGAATAAGAGCCTTGGAGGCTTTACTTGCTCTCAGAAACATCCAGGAGAAAAAGAGCATTGCTACCAGTGGAGAGAGGAAGAGAGAGGAGCTTGGCCTTAATAGAGGAACATTTGTTGAAATTATGACTTCATACTTCCTGGGCCTAAAACAGTGTTGATTACAGCCTTGGTTTCTGAAGAAACTGGCAGTTATTTTCCTTGTGCTTCTCTTAATGTTCCATGACATTTTGAATTCCCCTTTGTTACTTAGCAGGTGAGGTAACACTTATAGTCTTTTAGCTTGATTTCTACAAAGCTTTTGCTTAATACGTACTCTCCTTCTCTTGACTCAGTGAATAATTCCACATCCTTTGTGTTTCCTTCTGCATTTTTTCTGGATTATACCTGAATGTGATTAGTGCCTAAAGAACTGTGTTTGAATGAGTGAGTGGAACCACTTCAACAAAGGTCTTTGTCTTACTTCCTGTAAGAAAGCTGTAATGTTCTATTTCTGTTCAATCATATATACATATATGTCATATATAAATGACTGAACAGAATAAAAAATATATATGATTGAATGGAATCAGTCAATCTATCTATCTATATATGTGTGTATATTTCCAGGGAGGAGGTGGAATCAAATCTCATATTTCTGGGATTGCTGATCTTGGAGAATCGGTTGAAGGAAGAGACTAAACCTGTCTTGGAAGAGCTCATCTCAGCCCGGATAAGGACCGTAATGATCACAGGTATAGAACAAAGTGTATAGGGAAGACAATAAAAATTTGATGTGGAAATTGAGATTTGCTTATTTGACAGTTATTTTTGGCTACCTACTTTGGGCCAGACGCCATCCCAGATGCAAGACTGGGAACAAAAAAAAAAGGCAAAGTAACTGTTTTCAGTGAGCTTCCATTTCAGCGGAATGATGGAAAATCAATCAATCAATCAATCAATGAACCGATTAGTATAAGTGTTTTGAGGTACACAAAATAAGATGATGTGGTAAAGTATGTCTGACCATCTACTTCAGGTGAGGTGGTTAAGAGAGGGCTCTCTGAGAGGTGACATTTGAAATAAAACCTGAATGACAAGAAGATGTGGGCCAGGCAAAGATGATGGTTTTTATTATCAAGTGCTAGAAGAAAAATGCTTAGTCATTGTGGTCTATAAACCACATTGAAGGCCTATAAATATTAAAGCCTAGGATGCTGGAGATAAAAATCTGTATGTATGCTGTTCTCTCTCCTCCTAACCCTAGAGCCCAAATCATACAACAGGAGAGCAAGAGAAATGTATGAAATCTCTTAATAAAATTAAATGTGGATTTCTTAATGAAATTTCACGCTGACGGTATAAATGTTTTTTTTAACTGGAGACGAGAGGTGAATAAATAAGTTCCTGATGAATTCATATTCATGCTCATGTGTTTCGTGTGCTCCTTTCTTTCCTCTGCTCTCATCATCAGATGTTTTTAACGTGATTATCTGTGTCACTAAGACACATCGTGTCCCCATCAACCAGTTGCTCCTCCCCCTCACACCCCCAAAGCCAATCCTAAGGCTGGAACTCTAGAATATTCTCTTTCCTCCTTCTGCATCCTTCTCCATCCCTTCTTTCTAGACTCCACAATCCAAGAGAATTTGAGATTACTTTTATTTTACAGTCAGATTGGTCAATCTGACTTTTAGGTTAGTTTATGATAGAATGTCACACTATGACCCTTCTATTTCAAAAATCTTTATTTAGCACTTATGTTACTCATAATCTATCCCTCACCATTCAGATTAATGTACAAGGGAGAGTTCATCATTCTCCACCCTCCCTCTTCATTTCCTTTTCCTCATTTTGAAAATTCTGCTGTTTCTTTCTTTGGTTGTTTACAGCTCTTTTCTCAAGAATTGACCTTGGATGGAATAGAGGGATGATGTGCTGTCTGATTTTCTATATATGCTGGAAGATTTTTCTTTGCCCTGACAGTGAATAATTCTTGAGGTAGAGTTTTTTTCCCTAATTGTCTGTACGTAGCTGCTCTTCCCTTTCCCTGGTTTCTGGTTTTGCACATTACAAGTCCAATGCCAGTTCTCTGCAGGTAACTGGTTCTTTTTTGCATGTAATCTTTTACATTCAACTTAGGAGCACAGAACTATTTGCTAGGTGTTTGTCTTTTTTGATTATTCATTTAGTCTGGAACATAGAGAGCACTTTTAATCTTTCTTCCTCCTTGAAGAAAAATTTATTCTGTTGTTTGTTTAATTATTGCCTTTCTTCTCTGGAATTACTTTCTTTTTTTTAAACTTCTGGACTTTCTATCATTCACATGGCAGGTCTCCTGGGATCTATCCTTTCAGTCTCTTTTTTTCTTGTGATTGCCACCTTTTTATAATTTTGCTTTGTGCTTGAAGATTTTTTCATTTGCACTCAGTTTTTCCAAACTAGTCTCAGCTTTCAGCAATGTCCATTATCTCCTTCAAATCTCTATTGAACTGTTAAGTTCTTATATTGTGTTCTGAGGTGCAAGTGGCTCTAGAAAATCGTGTTTGCTTGATTTTTTTGTGTTGCATTTGCATCTTCTTGGGTGCCCGTATTATTTTTAATGCAGGTTTCCTCTATCCCCGGCAGCTTCTTTATTTCACCAGTTCTGAATATTCTGCCTGATCTTTTCCCGTCCAGCTTCTGGGATTTCTTAGGTTGTCGTACTTCTTAATCAGATGAGTTAAACTCAGCATGGGCCATATATCCTAAAGTTTGTAGATCTCACGCCAGTGGGAGATGGCAAAATGGGGCTACGTTGCAAAGCAGACAGGCTGTTGGTGCCCTGCTTGGACATGTGGGGCAAACTCTTACCTCTCCTGGCTCCCTAGATTCCTCCACCTGGGCAGGGCAGCTCCTTCCCACCAGTTCAGCTTTCTTAAGGCTCCTCCTAAGTATTTGGTAGAATCCTTGGGGAAGTTATATTAGGGATAACCAGCCAGATGCTATATTATTATTTTTTTTTTAGTGGTTGCTTTAGGAATCACGATATATGTACCTGATTTTCAAGAAGATTACAACCAGAAGTGTCTCTTACCTTCTCTTCCTTAAATTATTTTTGTTGTAAATATGACACACACTAACCCCCCCCCGACAATGGTATAGTCTTCACTGTCAACGGTGAAAAGTTATGTAATGAAAGTGAAGAAAACCAGACTTTTATGTTTACCCAGAACTTTGTCATTTCTCTTGCTTTGTTTTCATTTCTTGAGTTACAAGTTAACTTCTATTATCGTTTCCTTTCAACCTGAAGGACTTCTTTTAGCATTTCTTTTTGAGCATGTGCTCTGGAGACAAATTATCTGAATTTTTATTCATTTGAGAATATCTTTATTCTCTTTCATTCCCAAAGAATATTTTCACTCTCTATAGGCATCAGAATTGACAGTTCTTTTCTTTTGGCTCTTTACAGATGTTGTACACTGGGGTCTTGCCTCCCTATTTTTTGATGAGGAATCTGTGATAGTTTGAATTCTCCTTCCCTCCTATGTAATGTCTTGTTCTCTAACTGCTTTTTTTTTTTCTTTTCTTTCATTTTTTGCCATTGATTGCTGCATGTCTAGATGAGATTCTCAGTAAGTGCATCCTGCTTGGATTTCACTGAGCTTTTTTAATGTGTACATATAAATCTTTTATCATATTTGGGGAATTCTCTGCTATTATTTCATCAGTTATAGTAGAACCTCTATAGTTGACCACCTCCCTACACTGACTGCCTTGTTAAGTTGACCTAATTTTCATGGACTGGACATCTGTCATGTGTGTATCAGTACAGTAGGCCTAGTTCTGTATGTTGACCATCTCTGTATGTTGATCAGTTTGTTGCCGTTCTTTGGTTGTCAATTTACAGGAGTTCTACTATATTTTTTTCTCTTCCAATTTCATTCTCCTCTTCTTCTTATACCCTAATGAGATGAATGAATCCTTTTGAAATAATTGAGTTTTATTTTTATTTTTATTCATTTACTTATTTTTTGAGACAGAGTCTTACTTTGTCTACATTGGAAGAGTGCTGTGGCGTCATAGCTCACATCAACCTCAAACTCTTGGGCTCAAGCGATTCTTTTGCTTCAGCCTCCCAAGTAGCTGGGGCTATAGGTGCCTGCCACAATGCCTGGCAAGTTTAAGAGTCAGGGTGTCACTTTTGCTCAGGCTAGTCAGGAATGCCTGAGCTTAGGTAAATCTACTTGCCTCGGCCTCTCAAAGTGCTAGGATTACAGGTGTGAACCACCATGCCTGGCCCGAGTCTATTCATTTTTAAAAGATGTTCTCTCTGTCCTTCAGGTTGTGTGATTTCTATTGATCTACCTTCAAGTTCACTGACTCTGTCCTGTCATCTCTATTTTGCTATTAAGTACATCCATTTTTTTTTTAATTTCAGGTATGAGAGTTTTTAATTCTAAAGTATCCATTTTGTTCTTTTTTATAGTTTATATTTTTTGTTGTTGAGAATGTTTATCTTTTCATTTATTTCAAGAGTATTAACATTTACCACATGAAGAAAAGTTTATAATAACTGCTTTAAAACTATTATCTGATAATTCCAATATCTGGATCATGTGTGGACTGGCAACTGTTTCTTTTTCTTTCTTTCTTTCTTTTTTTTGAGAATCAGCCAGATTTTTCATAAGTTGAATATCCTTAACATTTGGATTATTATGTTGTGAGACTTTGGATCCCGTTAAAATCTTGTATAGAACATTGAGCTTTCTGTTTTAGTGAGCAATCAACATAAAGTTCTGTCTTGTCTATTGCAGGTGGTGATTGCAATACTAGTTTAGATATTAAATCTTTTGCTATGATGTCTGGGTCTCCCCCATTCAGGGGTTACTTTTACAATTGGGAGATGATTTATATGATACTTCAATTCTTTTTCGTTGTTGTTTTGAGACAGGCTCACTTTGTTGCCTTGGGTAGAGCGCCATGGAGTCATAGCTCACAGTAACCTCAGACTCCTGGGCTCAAGAGATTCTCTTGCGTCAGCCTCCCATGTAGCTGGGACTACAGGTGCCCACCATGATGCCCAGCTATTTTTAGGGATGGGAATCTCACTCTAGATCAGTGTGATCAGGAACTCATGAGCTTAGGTGATCCTCCAACCTTGGCCACTCAGAGCGCTGTGATTACAGGCATGAGCCACCATGCCCGGCCCTCATAGATCAATCCTTGAAGCTTTGGTTATCTTTCTTTGTATTGTTCTGGGCTGAGCACATGAGGTATCTAATTTATACACTGAGTTAGTCCCCTTGTCTAGCTCTCTCCTTTTCAGAATTTTCCCTTATATACTTCAGCCCACAAGAACCCCTTTTTCTAGTTCCTGTGGCCAGGAAGACTGGGTTTCCTCTAGAGTTTTAGTTTCCTGAACAACTCTTAGACTGAGACCCATACTTGGGTCAGACATGTGAGAGGAGAGAGAAAAAGAGCTAAGAAACTCATCCCCTCTGAGGTTGCTTCTCCAGTTTGATGCCCTTCTACAGTCTGCCTGGTTTTCTTTACTTTTCAAAGTCCTTGGTAGTTAGCATTTTCTACTGTGCTTGTGGGAGAGAGAGATTATGGTGGGCTTATCCCATCTTGATGGGAAGTGGAACAACTAGATACCACATTGAATCAGTAGGGTTTTCCTAAACATTTGCAAAGCTACTAACAAATGACAGAAATAGATTTGAATTTTGCTTTCAGGCAGAAATACACTGGTAGGTCATAAAAAAGCAATAAGAACAACAAAAGGGATTATGGCATCACAGAAGGTCAGGGCTAAAACAGACCTTAGAGATTATATCTCTTTACAACTCAATTATGGATTGAACTCTTTACCCTGGTTTTCCATGCTTTGCATGAGTTGGTTCCATTTCTTCATCCTCATCTCGGGACACTCTTTCTTCTAGGTGACAATCTTCAGACTGCAATAACAGTGGCCAGAAAATCTGGGATGGTTTCTGAAAGCCAGAAAATCATTCTCATTGAGGCAAATGAAACCACTGGGTCCTCATCAGCAGCTATATCTTGGAAATCAGTAGAAGAGAAGAAACACATCCCATATGGGAATCAGGTATGTCTGAAAAGAGACCTTTTACTGTGTCACTTACTTGTTTCACAGTGTTGGCAACTGGGCAGCTACAGCCTGGATTCAACATAGTTCTACAAATATCTAACACATGCTCAGTTCAATGAACTCAATTATATCAGTTTCCCATACTGTTCCCACTGAGCTGTAAAGTACAATGCTCTTCTGAGTACTGGAAATAATCCATTATTTTCATCTTAAACGTTTTTTTTGCACTTTCCCCTTGCTTGTCAGCCACCCTATTGGGTTTAAAGGGGATTTAGTACCTGGGAGAGACACTGCTGTGTGCATCAGAAAATCAGACTATGTCTTCAGATTGAGAGAAAGGCAAGTTTTATTCACTCTTCTCCAGGCTTGTCAGTATTCTATCTCCATTGTGCCCTTGTAGAACACAATATTAACTCTGTAAGAAAAAAAATAGTAAGCTCTCACTTCAGGGAGAGATTTGTTAAGCTGCAGTGCTTTTGTATTTTACACTTGAAATGTGTGAAATGTGCTCTTCTCTGGGACTCACCAAGATCAAATCAATGTGAAAACAGGACATGAGTACGTGTTATTCTCCTAGTGACTGGTGGCCAGGATGTGCAAAGTTTGATCCAGCAAAAAGTGCTTCTCTAAGGAATCAGAACTGGAGTATGACTTTTGCAGACAGATCCTGGTCTGTCTTCATTACCTTCTCTCAGATCCTAACCTCTTTGTCAAGCAGAAGAGTCTAAAACAACTGTGTCTGGCTTTGCAGGACAATTATATTAACATCAGGGAAGAAGTCTCTGATAATGGCAGAGAAAGAAGTTACCATTTTGCCCTAAGTGGAAAATCCTTTCATGTTATTAGTCAGCATTTCAGCAGCCTGCTGCCAAAGGTACGTTCTATGAGGGTAACAATTTCCCTGTGAAGATGCTGTTGATGTCACAGAGAAGGCTCCTATTTTAAGTCTCTCAATAAGTAATACATACCCAGTTTTATGTATCATAAGAGAGGTAGATATTTTTGCAAAGGTTACTGTTGTCCCATTTCCTACTAGATTTGAAGTAAATAAACTTGATTAGTAAATTTTCCATCATCTGTAGGATTGAAGTGTCAGTGATTCCTCAAATTATAAAGATTAATTTGGGGTGATTGTGACTATATTGCCATGATGAAGGGTCTCACAATAGAGTGCAAATCCTACAGTGATACAGGAAGGTAGGCTGAGAGTAAAGGTACTTCATTAGGTTTTTGATAGATGACCTCTGTCCTGAAGAGGCTCTGATGAAGAGCAAAGCCATAGTGAAGTGGGTCAATTACATATCCATGCGTGTGTGTGTGTATACACACACATGGTCATTCCTCAGTATCCATGAAAGAACCATTCCTCGTGATTCTAGGACCCCCCCCAGGAATACCAAAATCTATGAATGCTCAAATAAATCCCTTGCATAAAATAATGGCATTTGCATACAATCTATGCGCGTCTTTCTGTATACATTAAGTCACCTCTGAGTTACTTATAATACTTATCACAATGCAAATTCTGTGCAAATAGTCATTATACTGTATAGTTTAGGGAATAATTACAAGAAAAAACAGTCTTTGCATGTTGAATACAGACAAAACCATTCATTTTCTTCACCAAATATTTTTGAGCCGTGGTTGGTTTAATACATGGATGTGGAACCCCCAGATGCAGACAGCCAAATGTGAACAAACAAAAGGAAGATATGTCCAATATAACGCAAAGAGAAATCATGTATATTCAGTTGGCCATGATCTTAGATACCATTTAAGAAAAACAGAATAAAGACTTTTTTGCCACCCAACCCAGTTCATCTGCCTTGTTGCCCAAGAGGAAGCCAATACCCAGAGCCAGCAGGGTTTATAGTAGGGCAAGAGTTTCTTCTGCATGGTGTTCAGAGGGGAGATGGGAGGAATTTCTTAATTGTCCCCATTCTCCCCAAGAATTGGGGAGAAAAGATTTTTAAGGCTAATTTGACAGAGAGGAGGCTAAGTTTGGGATAAAATTATAGGAATGTGGAAATCACATTCTTCAGGGGTGTGGAAATCACTTTCTTGTTTTGCTTCAGCTCCTGGGGGCACAATTTCAGTTGAGTCAGTTTCTTGGTATGGGCTGCTGTTCTGGGCGGGTCAGCCCACTGGAGTGAGGAGTCTGGAAGATAACTACCCTTAGGGTTCCAAAAGGTAATGTTAGCTATGGAGAAAAGTTAAGAATCTTTACAACTACCAGCTTTGTGGAAAAGAGAAGCAAACGAGGGGACAGTGACCAACTATCATTATCAAGCAAGTGAGCAGACAGGGGCAGATTGTTGTCATTATTTTTAGCTAAGCCTGTTTCTTCAGAGAGTTTTGGGGGTCTTTGCTTTACTTTTCACCTTGCACCACTTCATCAGTTTGTAAGGGCATTTCAACTTTGAAACTGGCAAACAGTAAACTGAGTTCACTGCCAAGAAGACAGGAAACACATAGATCAAATACAGAAGAATTTAGATTCTGTAGAAAGGAGTGTAGGTGGGTAGAGCTGGTCCGGGCTTATATTCCCCAAACCAGTCATGTTTCGGGGCTCAAATTGGTTTGGGATATCAACTAAGCTTCATAATTGGTCAAATCCAGATGATATGATTAAGTCAAAGACCATATTCATAGTACTATTTCCCCATCAGGCTGTTTTTCTGCCAGATCTGAACAGTTTTCTGAGAAGCAGTTGCTTCTTTTTCTTCTGAGATCCTGACCTCTTGTTATTCTGCAATTTCTTACACTCTACTGGTTCAAGTTTCCATTAAGCTCAGGATTTTTCAGAATTACATGCCTTATGGCAGCTGGGATAAATTCCTGTAGGTTGTCATTTTCATAAAATATTTTTATTAAGCATTCATCTTTACTGAGTTTTGTTTTCTACTGGTCACTTATCTGATGACTAAAAATCTCAATGTTGTCTTAAAATCCCAGGGAAGGCCTGTTAGAAACAATTTCTTTTTTCATTCATGGGCGTCATTACTCATTCAATGCTCTGAATGTCATCAATTATTTCATGTATGACCAGCTGACATGATAAAAAATTTACTTTGGGGTTTTTTAACAGATACTGATCAATGGAACGGTCTTTGCAAGAATGTCTCCTGGGCAGAAATCCAATCTGGTTGAAGAATTTCAGAAATTGGAGTAGGTTCTTTGCCAATTAAGGTGGCACGAATTGCATGGGGGCGGGATGGGGTGGGGGGAAGTAAGAGGTACAGGGAGTTAGTTGCACTTAATTTGAAAATCACCTGGAGAACTTGGAACAAATATCAGAACACCACGACTCAGAGATTCTGATTCAATTGTTTATATGGGGCTTGGAAATCAGTATTTTTTCAATGCTCCTCACATAAGTTAATTTTGCATCCAATATTCAGAAGCACCAGGATAGAACATAAAGGAGATAGAATGGTGTGGGGAGAAATAAGACAGGAAGGTGGTTTGAGGTCAGTTCTTAAAGGTACAATGAGAATTTAGACTCTATTTTTATAAGCTATCATCACAGTTATGATGTAGGGAGATTCATATGATGAGAAATTCATATAACTATAAAAATATCTAAATATTCTCATGTCAAAGCATTCTTTCCATCTTAAATCAGAAAAAATACTTCTAACACCAAGGGTTTCCACTCCAAGTCAGAATGAAGAGTCTAGATGAAGTGCCCGTCATCTGGAGCCTTTATTTCCAGTTAACAGAACTCCAAGGAGCACCAGAGCTTTCTCCACTTTCCTCCACATAACTCCTTCTACTCACCTTTACCCTGTCCTCCTACTCATTGGAGACAGCAGTATGGTAGAAAAGTAACAACAGGCCCTGTGAATGCTGTGAGAGTACTCATACTTTATTAAATATTTTTTTCACTTTTTTTTTTGAGACCAATTCTTACTCTGTTGCCTAGCCTAGAGTGCCATGGCATCAGCCTAGCTCATAGCAAGTTCAAACTCCTGGATTCAAGCAATCCTCCTGCCTCAACCTCTCCAGTATCTGGGACAACAGGCACCTATCATAACACTTGGCTAATTTTTCTATTTTGAGTAGAGGCAGGGGTTGGTGGGGTTCTCACTCTTGCTCAGGCTGTCTCAAATTCCTGAGCTCAAAGGATCCTCCTTGGCCTCTGCGGGTGCTAAGATTACAGGTGTCAGCCACCCTGCCTGGCAAGAGTGCTCATACTTTAAAAAGCTGGCTATTAACATCTTTGCCAACAATTCAAGAAAGAAGTGTTTACCCAACCTCAAAAATCCATCCTGAAGTAGGGACATATTTTCTTTCTCCAACTTCTGGGCCAGGCATTGCATTTGTGAGCTGAGGGACTACCGACCAGATAGATTTCCTCTCGTGTTAGCATTAATAGCACCAAAAACTATGACTTATCATTTTTGACTTTATTAAGCACTTTCCCATATGACACCTTATTTAATACTCACAATCGTTTATTGAGGGAAAATATAATAGCTAAAAGACTAGTTCAAAATCTAGACCATCTAGCTTTAAACCATGTGCCCACTCCACTGTGCTAAGCATTTCTGTTTTACAGCTGAGACAGCTGCTCCCTAAGGAGTAAAGTGTAGTGTCTACACAAAACACCTGGAGTGGAAAAATGACATGCTAGATTCTAAATTTATTATATACGTTGCCGAGTCACACTTTACTTTTAGTCAAACCAGACTCTTAGAAACATTCTCTTAAAATATGAATTTGAACTTGAAGTAATGATGGTCACCTCATCTTTTTAGTTATAGAAATTAGCTGGTAAGGTAGCTTTGATCTCCTCCACAACTGACACGGTTCCTTTGTAGTTACTTTGTAGGTATGTGCGGCGATGGAGCCAACGACTGTGGGGTATGTAGCTGCCAGTGCCCGTGGCTGTAATCTCACCTGCAGTCCTGCTTGTCTGAAGACCTTTAGAGACAGTGCCTTTTGGGATGGATACCAGCTCCATTCCTCTGGATAGATAAACCGATGCTGGGGGTTGGGGAGGTTTTTGACCAAAGCCACACAGTGACTAAAAAGTCAGTACAGGTACTCACTGCTTTGGCCTGGTGTCCCAGTGCCATCTCGCTCTTAGGTGTCAGGCAGGGTGAAATCTGGTCATCTCCTGGCTGGTGTTTGGGCCCACAAGCCACCTTGCGGCTAGCTTACATGGCTTTTCTTATGAAGCCTCAGTAGAGATGTGTGAGTCTACATGGAAAGTAAGCTGACTCTTTGCTTTCAGGCTTTGAAAATGGCTCATGTGGGCATCTCTTTATCAGAGCAGGAGGCGTCTGTGGCCTCGCCTTTCACTTCTAAAACTCCAAATATTGAGTGTGTACCACACCTTATCAAGTAAGTAGGCATCCCTAAGCACTGTTGTTGTTGTCCCCTTGCCCCCCTCCCCCAACTTTTAGGTATAGATCCCATTGCTCTGCCCAGGATAGATCAGGGAAACTTTGTTTCCCTGGGGGTGGGGTGGGGAGGGGAGGGTGCAAAATGCCAACCTTCTAATACCAAATGGACTTACCAGAAGTTAAAAATAACTTGGGGAGAGTGGCAGCATTTCCAATGAATGAATTCACTGATTAGGTTATTTTTAGAAGATTGAAATCTGGAATTTGTTATTGCTTTCAAGTGTCAATCATCCTCTGATTTTTCAAATGTATCTCCTTAGACGCTTTATACTGGGAGATTCAAGAGAAATCCACTTGCCTGCCTTCCCTCTTTCTTGTCTCTTTATGCTTCCTCGGGGCACCCTTCTCACCCCGGTTTTCAAAGTCTTTATTGTTCTTTGGTGCTCCCACTAAAATTTGCCTTGGTGTCTTATCCCCCCGCCCCCCAACATGGTGCTTCCACTGCCTTTTATTTGAATGATCGAGGTAGTTAGCCTTGGGACTGCTCTTGGTTGCTTTAACTAGCATGCGTCTGCAGTCTGAAAAGTGCTTTGCTATCTATTGTCTTATACTTTAAAATAGCTTGCAGATGTAGGAATTTATTATTTCTTTTACAAATAAAGAAATTAAGGCTCAGAGAATTTATCTAATGTGCTCAGGCTCATATAGCCATAGAGGGTTGGAGATTGCTTCAGAATTCATTTTGTTTAAATGTGTTTTATGTAGAAATATCATACTCTTTCTGCATTGAAATGATGATTTGGCTAGTTCTTCCCATTTTTTTTTTTAAATACATGCATTTGACGAATATTTACTAAGCAGGCACTTAGTGCCAGGAACTAAGGAGATAAATAAAGAAAATACTCACTGATTTTGATAGGTGCTGTCAGGGAAATAAATAGGGTGATGTGATAGGTGGAATCAGCCGCTTCAGAAGAGGTCGGTGCTCTCTAAGGAGGTGAGGAAGGAGGCAGCAGCAAAACCATGACACAGAATAGGACCTGACTTGAGGTCAGGTTTCAGGATCCTAGAAAATCATTCAACTGTGTCTAACTTAAAGAAAAAGTGGAAGGAGCATAATTTAAATTTAAAAATATAATTTAAGCCTAATTTTTACCCCATAGAAATAGATAAAAATGGCGTTCCCTACGTCATCTACTTAAAGCTTTAAATACATACTATTTACTCAGAGTCAGCCACCAATATGCTCATATTTCCAATCTATTTAATCCTGATATATGACTAATTTGAGTGTGCATATTGTTTTAGTCCACATTTAGAAGAAGTTAAAACAGCCCAAATGAAATGTGAATCAAATGTTTGCCAAACTCCTAAAACACCTGTATGAAAATAACCCCCAAACCTGCAACCTTCTTTAAATCCTTTAGTTCATAGAAGAAAAGACTGAGACAAGGGAAATGAACTTCCAAATCATACTAGTGAATGGGGGTGAGATGTGGGGCTAGCAGCCACGTGCCCCGACTCTTAGCTCTGGAGCTGAAACAATGCCCCCAGAAAAGACAAGAGTAACTGCAACTCTGGGCTTCGTTGGCAGATCAAGGCCTGAAGACTTATGCCTGGAATTGATTTGTTCTGAAAATCCAGTCCTTTGGCATACACACAGCCAGATCTCACTGGCTCAAGGCTGTCCCGCCTTTCTTACAAACAATGGTGTGATGAGAGCTTTGATATTTTTTTTCTCTTGAGCTCAGCTAAACAGCATAGAATAACTGACTCATGTTTTTCATTGCTTTCATTTCAGCCCCTTTTCATTTCTTTTCTTACACAGGGAAGGACGTGCAGCTCTCGTCACCTCGTTTTGCATGTTTAAGTACATGGCTTTATACAGCATGATTCAGTATGTTGGCGTTCTGCTCCTCTACTGGGTATGACTTGGGACCTGGCCACTCGGTCAGTGAGAAAAACGAGTGGTGGTGAACTCTCAATTCTCAATGCTTCTTAAAGAAGGGGTACAAATAGGACACCCAGGCAATAATAGCCACTCTAAAAATATCCTCGAGGATCTTTAAAGTACACCAGAAATACACAATTGTGTGCAAGAAAAGTTGCTGGTGACAATTCTCTGCCATAGAAACTTTGTGTCTAGGGGCAGCCCAAGATCGGAACAGAATGTATCACTTTCTCTCTTGCTGTTGCTTTCACCTACTTGGACCAGGTCTCTATCTTTCCAATTCCAGCCTTGCTCTACCCTGGTATAACACTCATTAAAGATCTGGTTCTCAGTATTGGGTTTCTGGTAAATATTTCATAATTGATCTTCCCTGGAAAAATGAGTCCTGACGTTTGCCAGTTTCAATGGTGTAAATATTTCTACCATAGCCGGTTTCAAACTATCTGCTGATGTTATTGAACACAGAATGGGGCCAAGATATATAGCTGCATATACCATCATATAGTACTTGCACCATATGATGCAAGAGTTGTGCATAACCAGGTGGCATCTGTGGCTCAAAGGAGTAGGGTGACCCCATATACTGGAGGTGGTGGGTTCAAACCTGGCCCCAGCCAAAAAAACTGCAAAAAATGAAAAAAAAAAGAGTTGTGCATAATCTCAAGAGCATGCATAACAATAAGCTGCAGGAAAATGATTGGAAAGTGCTGAATTCTGGGTATTTATAAACTTTGTTTTAGTATAATTTATTTAATGGTTCATTTGCATAATATGTTTTCATATTGGCTGTGTTTAACAACCAGCTCACAACATCCCTGAAAATTTGGCAATTGTCAAGTGTTAGTAAAAGCTACATTCAACTGGTTCCCTGAATGGAGGGATTTGAAAATTGGCATATTACATTGCAAAACAAACAAACAAACAAACATATATCTTGTAATGGATTTTATTATTTAATAAGATATAAAAGGAGAAAAGATATGCCTGTTGTCTGCAAAGTTGGTGTGTGAGCATATGCTACTAACTAACACCAGAAAAGGGATATTTCATTTGTGCTGAATGTATCAAGATTCATCTCTTTATATCGCCCTCTTTCTCCTGGGTTAAAGGTTTTAGCTCTATTGTGTACAGATTTTCTGTGTCTTTTCACACTCACTGATGAGTGGCTAGAGAAGGACAGAAAGTTGACCTTGTTACAGAATCCCCAAAGTAGAGTTAAACATAAAAGATACTCTCCTACTACTAAAGGGGGGGGGGGGCAAGGAAGTAAGTTTTTTGAAATCAGAAAGACCTGAACACTTTTTCCTAGAGTTTTAAGGTGCTTTATTAGGACTTTCTAACATTTCATTTAAAACAACCAAGAGTGCAAACTGATAGGTTTAATTATTCTCATTTTCCATCAGTAAAATGTAGGTACAGTTACCCCACATCTGTCACTTGCTACTATCAGAGATGCGTTCTTTTGTTGTGCCAAACAATCCCAGATTTTCTGTTAATCAGTAGAAGAGAAAGCAGAAATGAAATTTGTAGGAAGATGTCTTTCTCAGTAAAGTAATATGGATACGCAAAGGACCCGACTCTGAGAATATGACGGTGGACCTCCTGGTCAGAGAGCATTTCCTACCTGTGCCTTTGAGATTCCCCCAATGCTGTCACTCACGGCCTCACATAGGCCCCTGACCACAGCCTCTCCTTGGTAATTTACTGGAAAACTCCTATGATGCAGTGAGAAAAGGAAAGCAGTCAATGTCCAACTTCATCCAGAACTCTTTTTAAAATCTGCTTTTCTATTTATTTTTAGGAGACAAACAGCCTTTCAAATTATCAGTTTCTGTTCCAGGATCTGGCCATTACAACTCTTATTGGGGTAACAAGTAAGACATTTTAAAGCTTTCTTGCTATGGACGGTCCCTTTACCTGGCTTTTCTCTGCCCAGAAAGGTTTGTCTCCTACAGGGACAGCAGGAGCAGTAGAGATGTGTGACTTATTCTAAAAGGTGTGTATGGGGGTGGGGAGGAGAGAGAGAGAAAGACGGAGACAGGGGGAGGGAGAGGGAAGGGAGAGAGAGAGAAAGAGAGAAGGAGGGAGAGGGAGGGAGAAGGAAGAGAAGGAGAGGGAGAGAAAGAAGGAAAGAAGGAAGGGAGAGAGAAAGAATATTAGCAAAGGAAAAGTTGTCTGTTCTGCTGTTTTCAACAAACAATAGAGCTTCCATAAATGGTCACTACACATTTATGAAAAAGACCTTGAAAATCAGGAACACTAATTTCAACGTACTTTTAAGTATAGTTATAGTTAACATGTGCCCAATGTATAGAAGCTAAGTGCTTTTATGGTTCCTATCTACAAATCTTAGCCTCTTGGGATTTAGAACATGGCTTAAACGTAATTTTACCATTATGCTGCTCCCCACCTTATAATGAGTATACGAACATATGAATTGTCTCTTCGAATTCCTTGTAATGGGAAAAAATTTTTTAATGTATGGCTTTATTATTATTTTTTTCAGAGCTGTTTTGGGTTCACAGCAAAATTGAGATTTCCTGTGACCCCTTCTCCCTCCCCTAGATTACCCATTATCAACATTCCCCATCAGAGTAGTACTTTGTTATAAATGATAAGCCTACACGGACACGTCATGGTCACTCAAAGCCTGTAGTTTATATTAGGGCTCTTTCTTGGTCTTAGATAGTTCACGGGGTTGGCATGTATGTAACAAGAGGTGTCCACCATCATGGTAAGCCACATTCTCACTCCCCTTCCCTCTGAGTCATCCTCTCACCTTCCCTAGAGCACTTGACAACCAGTGCTATTTTTTTTACTTTTTTCGTAGTTTTACCTTTTCTGGAATGTCATATAGATGGAACTGTATAGTTTCTATACTTTTCAGATTGGGTTTTTAAATTTAGTAATATATATTTAAGGTTCCCCGCTGTCTTTTCTTAGCTTTTAGCTCATTTCTTTTTAGCATTGAGTAATACTCCATTGTCTGTATGTATGTGTATCACAGCTGATTTATTCATTCACCAACTGAGGGCTATCTGGCTATTTCCAAGTCTGGGGAATTATGAATAAGCTACTGTTAGACATCCATGAGCAGGTTTTTGTGTGGACATACGTTTCCATCTTTACTCTATAAATACCAAGGAGCATGATATCTAGATCATATAGTAAGGGTAAGTTTAAGGGGTTTTTTGTTTTATTTCTTTATTCATTCATTCATTCATTCTTATTTTGGGTTAGTATGAGGGTACATATGATTAGGTTACATTATTTGTGTTTATAAGATAAAGTCCACAGTCTGAGATGTAGTTGCTTCCTTTACCCAGAAAGAGTGCCATATACCCCTACACTGCACCTGATGGGGGGAAACTTACCGAGAACTTCCCACCCCACCCCCCTGCTTCTTGGTTTTAATTGTGTTTTTCTTGTGTTTGGGCCTATAGTTGTTAATCTACTAATTTCAGATTATAACTGAGTACCTGGGATGCTTGCTTTTCCATTCTTTACTTAGGAGAAGAATGTGCTTCAAAACCATCTGGGTGAATACAAAAGATACAAAATCTCTGTCTTTTTTGTGGCTGAATAGTATTCCATGGTATTCATACACCATAATTTATTGATCTATTTAAGGGTTGATGGGCACTTGCATTGTTTATGCATCTTTGAAATTGTGAATTGAGCTTCTATAAACATTTCAATGTAAACATCTTTACAGTAAAATGATTTTTTTCTTTCTGTGTAGATACCTAGTAATGGGATTGTGGGATTGAATGAGAGGTCTACTTTCAGTTCTTTGAAGATTCTCCATACTTAGTTGTTGGGGACCAGTCCCAAACTACACTGTAAGTTCTTTCCCAGTGACTGGTGGAGAAGAGAGAATGAAGGACTCTTGACTCTTCATTTAAAGAGTCAAGATACAAGTAGAAAGTTTTTTTTTCTTAATTAAATCATAGCTGTGTACAGTGTACATTAATGTAATCATAGGGTACAATGTGCTAGTTTTATATACAATTTGAAATATTTTCATCAAACTGGTTAACATAGCCTTCATGGGCGGAAGAAGAAAGTTTTTTAAAAAGCTGGGCCAGGAGCCTTTCCCCCTCCAAAGGTGAGGATGGGAAAAAAGCCCCTAATTCTGGGCTAGCTCTGTTTTCATTACACACATCACTGTTTTATTTATTTATTTTTTAAATTTTTTTGTTAAATCATAACTGCATACATTGATGCCTGTATGGGGTTCAGTGTACTGATCTGATATACAATGTGAAATGCTTACATTGTACTGATGAATACAACCAATCACAATTATATTCTTTTCTTAATAGTTTTGAAATGTACCATTGCACATTGTGCACATGTAATGAAGTCCCCCAAATCCCCTCCTCCTCCCACATATCACTGTTTTGATCATCAAACGGGGGAAAGGATAAACCTTTACATCATGGTTCTCACAGGGCCTGCATTTTCTAATGAAACTATTTCTCTAAGTAACTTCCTTAACTAGACTGATTAACTCTTACTATTACTACTCTAAGTTATTTGTAACAACACAAACGGAGCATGGAACAGGGAACATAGTCCAGAAGCAGGATGTCAAAGCAGACCCCAATCAGACCATGCACACAAATCTCAAGAATGGCAAATAAACCCCTGGGAAGACTTGTGGGCAGATGAGCTGGTGCTGCTGCCAATACTGAGAAAACAGAAGGAGGCATTTTCCTCCTTATCTCGCTGAGAAAACTTTTCTCTCTTAATGAGGTTTATGTGCCCGCCCTGTCTCCAGCACATTCAGCACTCCCTCACTATATTCCTAGCTTCCCAAATGCACTACTCTCCCTGAGGGGGCAGGGAACCTTGTCTCTCAGTGCTCAGTGACCTCTGAGCCAAGTTGCACTGGGGAAGGGGTGAAGCTCTGGCAAGACGGTTTCTCTGTTTGAAAATGTCAGGCTTCAGGCTGGTGCTCTTTGCAACAGGGTTGAGATTCTTGGTATTGCTTCTGCAGTCTGAATGCACACGTTTTCTCTGATACACTTCTTTCCTGCCTCTGTTCCCTTTTGCCCATCATCTGCAATCATTTTCTTAATTCAATTCCTGACCTACTTATAATAAACAATTGAAAATTTGTTTTAAGTTTATTAAATCATTATTTCTAGCAACGCAAGCACATTGAGAATGACTCTTCCCTTAAGTACCCACAGGTCCACCTGCACTTAGCTCCAAAAAGACCATACTAGTTTGCAATCCCACTAATGGTACAGAAGGGTATCCCTCTCGTCACACTCATGCCAGCATCTATAGCTTTGGGACTTGGTGCTGTGGGCTATTCTCACTGGCATTACGAGATCTCAAAGTGGTTTTGATTTGCATTTCTCTGAGGTTCAGGGATGATGAGCAGAGTATGTTTACTTTTGTAAGAAACCAGTAACCTGGCTTTCAAAGTGGCTATTCTATTTCACATGCCCATCAGCAGCAATTTAGAGTTCCTGTTGCTCCATATCCTCATCAACATTTGGTGTTGTCAGTGTTCTTGAGTTTGGACATTTTAATAGGTGTCTAGTGGTCTTATTTATGTTTTTACTCCTATCTCCTCAAGGATTTTGTTCCTGTAGTAATCTCTTTCTCTATTATTGTCAACTTTTCCTTGGTCTATGGGGTCATTTCCCCAGCATGTAAGTATTTTTGCATATCTTCTTCCTATTAAAAAATTCTCCTTGACGCCAAATCCACCATGAGTTGCTGCATGCTTTGTTCTCAAACTTCCCAAACAGTATGCCCACTTTGTCCTTTTCATGTCTCTAATTCTATTGCCATTCCATATCCATCAGCTAGATTCTAATGTCTAAGAGCATGGTTTTGAATTCTGCACCTATACTGTTGTTTAGTAGGAGGTAGCATTGCTTTTGCAAATGTTTGATAGTTGGCTTCCTCCAAGAAAGTTCGAAATATACAGTATATATGTATACAGAGGGTGCCAAAAATGTTTACACTTTAAAAAATGAAAAACTGTATTAAAATTGTAATACTAAAGTCATATTTAACTTCTGCAATTACAAGAAATAAATGACAAACATTATTTGTATTATTACAATTTGGATATAATTTTTTTCTTTTCTTAAAATATGTATTCATTTTAGGCACCGTGTGTGTGTGTGTGTGTGTGTGTGTGTGTGTGTGTATGTGTATGTGTGTATAGAGAGAGAGAAAGAGAGAGAGAAAAATGAGTTTATACTATAAATAGCCACGCATTGTCGTGGGCACCTATAGTCCCAGCTACTTGGGAGGCTGAGGCAAGAGAATCGCTTAAACTCAAGAGTTGGAAGTTGCTGTGAGCTGTGACAGCACAGCACTCTACAAGGACAACATAGTGAGACTCTGTCTCAAAAAACAAACAAATAAAAAATACTTTACTATAAAGAACTGTATAGTGAGCAATTTGCAAACAATAATAAAATATATGGTACTCTTTATTGCAAATTCTATTTAGCCAATTGATTCTCACAGAATGCTTAAATTGAGTTTTGCCAAACTCTTATGTGCATAATCAATTGATAGTTGCAGCTGATGACTGACTTAGTTCCAATGTGACTGTTTTTTGATATTTTCCTTTAGCTGAATGAGTAAGACAAAAACTAAAAAATAGAGACTTATGTCAAAACTCTAATCATTCATCAGTGAAGTGAGCCACTTAATTTGCTGAATCAGATAGTAGTTCTTGAAGGCTGGAAGAATATTTCCTCAGTTAAAAAGAAAATCCCATTATAACTATCATACACTACTGGTGGGACCACAAACTAGTGCAACGTTTTATCCACAGGAAAAAAAGTCATTGTATAAAAAGGACACCTTCCCTTGAATGTTGTAGCAGCACGATTCACAATCATAAGCATGTGGAAGCAACTCATGTGCCCACTCATACATGAATGGATTAATAACATGTGGTATATGGATACTATGGACTACCGCTCAGTCATAAAAAAATGGCAAGCTATTGTCTTTTTGGATACCCTGGAGGGAACTAGAAATCATTCTTCTAAGTGAAAAATGACAAGGATGGAGACACATGTACTTAATACCAAATTATAACTAATCGATCAACACTTAAGTGAACATATGGAGGTAAATCTCAATGAAAATCAAGCCGGTAGAGGGAGAGAATGGGTAATTCACACCTGTTGGGTAGAGTGCACACTATCTGGGTGAAAAGGCATATTTACATATATAACTTTGACTCAATCTGTACAAAAATGAAGTATATAAACAAAGCATGTTTATCCCCTAACATTCTGAAATAAAAAAGAGTTCTAAAAATGTACATTATAATGGCACAGAGGTGACACATTTTTAAGTTTAATCTTCATTATTAACCTCAAAAACAGATAATACTAAAAGGTAGTAAAATAATTAGGAAGTTATCAGTTTTGAACACTCATTATCTTTTTTAATGCTATCTAATTGCAAATTTATGTCATTTACTTTTAATAATGGCTGTGTTTAATAACGAGCTAGTACATTTAGCAGTAATTGGCTCTTAGGAGCTAATATGAGCCAGGAACAGCCACCACCATCTGGATGTTACTGACACATTACAAAGATGCCCGTGTCTTTGATTGCCTCTTCTATATGCCTTGTCACCTTGCCTTACACTATTTCTTATTATATCTTCTCTTCTTAATTTTAACAGCTATCATACAAATTTATTTTAAAAGGTTGTTCAAAAGCTCAAAGAAAGGAAACATGGCCAAGTGGGGCAATTGCTCTCTACACCGTAACTGCCACCTCCCTGACACTGATCTTGTCAAGGTCCCTCAATACTCTCTCAATACCATTCTCTTTTTTCAAAAGGTTTCTTCTCTTGGCTTATGTGATTCCACACATTCCTAAATACCTACCCTCTAATGAATAGTTTCTTTATCTCTTTTCTGGCTCCTGTTTTTTTACTTAAGCTCTAACTTTTACAGTGTTCAAGTCTTGCTCTTGGATTCTTCTTGTCTTTTCGATCTATATCATCTCCCTGAGTAATCTCAACCTATGCAGTGGGTTTAATGTTATCTATATGTCAATGGATCCCAAATTTGTGCCTCTAGCCTTGATGTCTATGTTCTAGCTCTGAAAATGTAGCTACTCAGCATTTAAGCTTGGATATTTAATAGGATTCAAACTATTTTTGCAAAGACTGTGTTAGTTGTCGTGTGCAGTCCCTGAAGTCTCTGTTCCTTTTGTTCAGCTTGTATTTTGGCAGAGATTCCTCAAAATCTATTAGTTAAAGAAACAAATGAGCAAAAAAACCTCTTCCATCCTTTACAGGTTTCTTATTCAACACTTACCCAGGCTTGCACGGGCTCTAGAGATTATCCAGAGTTAAAAGTTCAGGGTCTTCTCTGCTCTTTTCTGAGCATGCACCTTTCCCTGGACATGTACACACATATCTCTTGCTCCAGGCATAGCATTCAACACCAGTATTTACAGGTGTTTTTGAATGTTCTAATTTCTCAAATAAAATTTCCTTAGCTTTTGCGTCAAGGCTTTAGGTAGTTATTTTATACCTCAACTGTAGTCGTTTGCTCCAGGCAACTGTGATTGTTAGTCTTACAGTGCTTTCCATTGATGTATGCTGTTTTTGTGCCATGAATGTGTTCACCTGCTGAACACTGACACAGAACACACTCATGGCAGAGAAACAGCATACATCGCTGAACAGAACAATCGCATCACAGAGCATAGATGTGAGACCACATCACACCACACCACATCACATCAGGTAGCTCCCAGACAGGTTGAAACAGACACAGTAATTTGTGAATAGAGTCTACTCTGCTCCTGCTGTTACCACAGGGAGCGCAGGCTAGCATCTTCACCATTGCCACTGAACTTAAAAGTCACACAGCAAAGACAAGAAAAATGCCACAAGACTTTTCCTGCCATTTTAAAGTTGCCTTGTTCTAGGTTCAGTGTTCAGTTAGTTGCTGTAAACTTTTTGGTTTTTGGAGTTCTGACACTTTGTTCATTTGTTGATGAGTGAAGTGTTAAGTGGGAGCTCTGGGAACGTGGAGATGCCTGCTTCACCATGTTGCTGATATCACTGTTTACTTGTCATTAACTATTTGAAAGCATTCCTTTCTAATGACTTGTGTAAAAGTATCACAATTTATTATAAATGATGCTGTGATGAACATCTTTCCATATCTCTGATTACTTTTGTAGCTTAGGAGAGATTTCCAGAAATGGAATAACTACATCAAAAGTTATGAGCATTTTAAACTTTTTGGATTTATTTCCAATTGTCCCACAGAGCAGTTGCATCAATTTACATTCCCACAAGTAATATATGAGAGGGTGCATTTTACTACCCCCTTACCTATAATATAATAGTCTTTGAGTCTTTAATAGCCAAATAGTGACATTTTGTTGTCCTGTGTCTGCTCTTTTAAAAATTCCTGATACGATGAATTTGCATCCATTAATTTTGTTTCCTTAGTTTGTGATATATTCCAAATTTGTCCATTTTCTCAGATGTATGGACCAAAGAACTTAAGCTATTCTTCCAATCAAGAATATATTGATTTTTTTCTCTCATAAATATAAAATTTTAATTTATTTTGCAGTGAATCTGAGTGGTGCCTACCCCAAGCTGGTGCCTTTCAGGCCTGCAGGACGGCTGATCTCTCCACCTGTGCTGCTCTCTGTCATCTTCAACATCCTCCTCAGCCTGGCCATGCATATTGTGGGCTTCCTCCTGGTTCAGAGGCAGCCTTGGTATTCCATGGAGATGCACAGGTACAGCTACAGTCTCAATTTCAGCGCTTCTCACTTCTAGTTTCATCAAGCCTCATCTGGTCAATATGATGGGAGGCAAGTGGGTCTTCATCATGCCAAAGGTTTTGGCTTTCTTAAGTCCTGTTGAGAAATAATCCATGCTTGTTTCTTCTCTGTAGCACAGTTGATGTACCATTCATTAGTACTTATCTTTGTCTGCATCATATGATAATGATATGACCATCTTTTATACTTGGGTTAACCATGGATTATAGTCTGCCTGAGAAGCCCCAATTAAGAGCCTAGTTTAAATTAAGTGATGTCTCAGTGATATTATTGATCCAAAACTGTCCATCTTACTTGATCAATTATATGGCTACTCTGTTATAAATTATCAGCGATCTTAAGTCACAGAAGGAAGAATCCTGACTTACTCATCTCTTCGCCCTGTACTATTAATATACACGATGGGCTACACAATTTGTTGAATAAATTACTGGTTGACTCTATCTCTCTATCCACCTATCTGGCATCTATTTATTAGCTATTGTCTATCTATCTCTATTAAAGCATTAGTAAATATGGGTCTATCTGTGCTTGTTTCTTCTTCCTTATATTTTAGTGTATTTTTTTTTTATTAAAGCATACGCAATTATTGAAGGATTGTGTGTCTGCTTTGGACACTCTTTGGTGTGGTGTGTTGTGGAGATAAATGTTCCATAAAGGCCTATTGTCTTACTTCATCAGTTTCCTTGGTTTCCTTTTTAGTGCCTGCACAGTGAAAAATGAAAGCCTCTTAATATATCCAACTGCTCCAGAGAGCAATGGAACTAACAGTGCCTTCACAAGCTTTGAGAACACTACTATATGGTTCTTGGGGACGATCAACTGTATCATTGTGGCTCTTATATTCTCTAAAGGAAAGCCATTTAGACAGCCAACCTATACGAACTGTGAGTAGAATTGCACTGGATCAGAGGTGAAAAGTGATGAGAGAGGACGACAGACATTCTCTAGTCACTAAGGGAGCAGCTACTGAGTCGGTTGTCATGTCAGGGCTCCTGACTTTCACTCCAGGGCTCTGTAAAACACACTGGGCAGCCTCCTGTTGATGGGTCCTGTGGACCTTCCTTCAAGGCTACATTAAATATGAGGGTTTCTTCCTCCTTCTTTTCCTTTCCCCAGAAGTTTGTCTCTAGGTATCCTTTCTTGGGATCACTTTAAATTGGGAAGACCCACATATTTCTCTATTTGTCAGTACTTGTCAGGATTTATCCTGAGAGAGTAGAAATGTGACAACACTCAGTTAGAGCCTGCTTCTGCCATGATGGCATTGTGTGGTGGCAGGCTGGGAGCGGGTCCAGCCTGGAGGAACCTGACTACAGAGGATTGTGCAGGCTCTTGGCCAAAGTACAATTTGGGGTGAGGAAGTGTGTCCTATTTTTCTCTTGAAAGAGAAGGTCTCATTCTGTTACGCAAGTTGGAGTGTAGCGGCATGATCATAGCTCACTGTAATCTTGAACTCCTGAGCTAAAGTGATCTTCTTGCCTCAGCATCCTGAATAGCTGGGATCAGGTGTGAACTACCATGCCTAGCTAATTTTAAAAGGGATTTTGTTTGTTTATTTATTTATTTGTTATCTAGTTTGTTTCTAGAGCTCACTGTATTGCCCAGGCTGATCTCAAACTACCAACCTCAAGTGATCTTTTTGCTTCACCCTCCCAAAGTACTAGTATGGCAGACATGAGCCATCATGCCCAGCCTGGGACATTTATACCATCATTATCCCTCTAATTGGGAGAATTCAGAAGCACGAATTGAAGCATCAAATATCTTCATACAAATTTGTTTATTCAGAGAAAATTATTTTGCTCTACTTCTTGGGATAAGGAAAAAGCCAAATGCTGACCTCCACATGACTGCAATTTTAAAATTTGTTTATTTACAGCCTTTGTTTTTGCCAGAAAAGGATATCAGACAAATGAGTTGCATTAAGGAGGGTCAGATAGTTGGATGTTTTCAAGATGTTTATTGAAAATGTATTTTATCATTGATTCTCTCTCTCTATATATACCAATTTTAACTAAAACTTATAACATGCATTTGAAATTTTCTGCTTGCCTCAAAAGCATACATAGAAATTGTAGAGGTGAGACCCATTGCGCAGAAATGAGTACTTTCCATCTATTTTTGCTGTGTTTGGATATAGAAATCAAGTAAACTAAATCAGTGTTACTCTAGATTATATTTGCTAATAAATGTGACATTTTGTATTCTGATTTCTCAAAATGACATTCATTTTCTTATTCCCCAGATGTATTTGTCCTTCTGCTGATCGTACAGCTGGGTGTGTGTCTATTCATTCTATTTGCTGATATACCAGACTTATATAGGCGTTTTGATGTAAGTCTCATCTCTGGAATATGGTGATGGTTTATGGTTATAAAATACCCTACCTTCAAAAAGCAGGTCACAGTTGTAATTGACATACATTCTTGACACCAATTATTCTTTTGGGATGGTAGAGTTAAAAAGAATGCTGAATTTATCCATATTTTTTATTTAAGATGGTCAGAAAATTCCATCTGGTTTTAATTTCCTGAGATTAAAGAAAGCCTTTGAAAAATATTAAATATTTTTCTTGTAAAAGATCCCACGTAAGATTGAAAAATCTATTTGAACATGTTTTCTTTCAAATATGAGAGCTTTTCTCCCTAAATGTTTTGAAGCTATTTAATATAGTTTTGCCTATAATACTTTTTTCATTAATTCTAAGATCTTTATTTACATGTATTTACTGCTTTAAAAACATGTTTTTCTGGATGTTCATACTTAACGTTAGCAAACTTTGCTTTCAAAGAACCATACTGTACCTTGTGAACTCTCCTATATTTTGTAATATTGAGACAGAGTTGAAAACCTACAAGATACCAGAATTTTACATATTCAAGAAAGGGAAAAACATATTTTTATTTATTTTTAATTTTTAAATTTCAAATTAATAAGAGGGTACAAACGTTTAGTTTACATTGTTTTCATGTCTACGGTAAAGCTCAAGTTGTAGTTGAGCCCTTCACCCAGGGGCCATGCTGAGCACCCTCACATTGTGCACATTAGGGAGTAGAAAAACATATTTTGATTCTTCCAACTGATCTTATTTTTGGATTAAAATTTAATCATTATTAAATGTTCTGTAGGCTAATAAATGAAAGACATAGAGATGATTGAAAAACCTGAGTTTTTCAACTTAGTGCTTTGTGCATCTTCTTGCCTCTTCATCTCAGAGATGACTTGCGTGAGGTGCAAGATTCTATCTCATTCATTCTTATTGTATGGGTGCCTTGCACAGTGAATAGCAAAGAAAAAAAAAAGAGAAAGAATGACCGGCTGACATTTTATATCTACGCATAGAGAGAGATGACCACTTCGAGCACACAGTGTATTCTAAACCAGCCATCCCTTCATGAACCTACAGATACTAACTTGTATCTATATTAGGTTTTCAAGTTTTTGCAATTATTGTTGTTAGCAGTGTAATGACTATTGTTGTTAAGTGTCTTCATGAATTAGGTTAAGTACCATGGAGGTAGTCTTTGCCCTCTAGTCTTCTAAGTGGGTTAACATTTCTTAATCTTGCAGCAGTTAAGGTTAAGACACGTTGGCTTTGGTCACGCTTTGAGGCTGGGTCCTCCACTATAACAAAATAGGAACACGTTTACTTTGGAGAGAACTTATATGAAGTCATTGTCAGCATGACTACAGAGGATTTCACAAAGAATGATTGTTCACTTTAAAAATAATTATTTTTCTTATTACATAAAAATACGTGTTCAGTTTAGAAAATGCAGGCTGTGCAGGGCAAGGAAAATTATAACATTACTCACTGTATGCTTCCCTCTTTGAAAATTCATATGTTAGAACTGTGCATTGAGTGATTTATAAATTTTATTTTCTTTTAAATGGAATCATGCTGTTTTGCAACCTAGATTCTGCCCACTTAAAAAAATATGTAAATTATTTTAATAGGGAATACATTCCTTCAGTTTAAAATTCAAAAGCTATAAAAAGTTATTTAGTGAAAATCTCCCCCCCATCTTAGTTACCTAGTCACCAATTTCTCCTTTCTGGAGGCAAAAGATGATACCAATTTATTTTACATACTTTGGGATGCATTTTGTATGTATGTACGAGAATATATGTACAGGCATAAGCATATCGATGTGTCCTTCTCCCATGCTTTTACACAAGTAGTATGTTTGTTCAGGACTTCTGAGGTGTCAAGGGGGGGTGAGTTGTGCCAGGGATTCATTGCAGGAAACTTCTAGGCAGAGGAAGGAGTAGGAAGACAGCAGAGGTGAGGAGGGGCCTCACATGGTGCTGTGGGTCGGACCCCTATGGAGAGAGAGGGAAGAAAGAGGAACTGGATGAGTGACATCCCATGCAGTGCAGTTCTAAGAAATCAAGTCACAGTTGCCCCTCAGGAGTGAGAGTCTCACAGTAATGAGTCTGATTAGAATCCATGCTGTCCTCACTCACTGGCCATAAGCAGCCCATGAAGTCCAGCTTTAGGGTGGACATGACAGTGGATTCTGAGCATGGCCATTGGGGCATCCGTCATTTACCCTCCCAGCAGGAGATCTGAATGGGAGATTGTCATGGCTGCTACACCCACACACACGCTCCTGCACCTGCTTCTTTGATGCAACAGCATAGTTGGTAATTGTTCCATATTGGTATATAAATTTGCCTTATTCTTCTTAATGCTAACATATTATTTCATTATATATAAATGCATATTATGTATGTTATATATAACATATTTTATATGTAACCCCCATTGATAGACATTTATTTCCAATGTTTTCCTATTACAAACATAGCTACAATAAAATAACTTTGTACATATATCATTTTAGTCCTGTATAAATTCCTACAAGTACATGTGAGCTGTTCATTTTGAGAGTATTATCTTCCATAGAGTCATATTAGTTTTTACTCCTACCAAGATAAGACACAACGTACAAAGTGGTGCTAGGCACAGTAGGGTATCCTCCCCTTTTTTCATTCATTCATTCATTCATCCATCCATCCATTGATTAGTGCATTTAATGTACGTGTATATCAGGCACTGTGCCTAGGAAGGGTTGGAGAAGACACAGAGGAAAGTGGGGAAAGGGACAGGTAATGACAAGCTTGATTCCAGCCCCACTTGCTTCTTTGACAAACACTCTTGTGAGACACAGTCTACGCGGCTGCACTCACACTCCTGATGGTGAAGCTCTGACCCCTGCTAAGAAACAAGGTTCATTTGCGGAGAGACATGGTACAAGAAAGAAAAGGGTGACAAAAGGGTGACATTGTCAAATGTGGAGGCTTGATACGTACACTATCAGAGCCTCCTGGAGACAAAGCCACATGGCTGTATTCACTCTTAAAAACAAAACAAAAGCTATCAACCAGAAAATGATTTTACTATTTTTTATTGCAAAGCAACAGAAGTTATTATAGGAAATTTAGAAATTATAGAGCAACAAAAACCAAGGAAAGAAACAGAAGAAAAAAGCAATAATCATAACCCCCAAATCACTGAGATCATTGAGTATAACCTTCCCACACTTTTTCTGTACATATGTACATAGAAATTCTTTATACATGAGGGTTGTCTGGCAGGTATCCAACCAGTACTTGGCCGGATACTTTCCAGACATCCTTGTGTATGCATAAATGTAATATAAGCATGCATATATGTATATTATGTGTGTATCTTACATATGAGATTTGTGACCCATGAAAATGTGTACTGTGAACATGCAAGCATTTTTCTGGCATGCATTTGTCTTCAGACTAATTCACTCTGTCATCTCCCACCAGCTGGTCTGCACTCCTGTCCTGTGGCGGGTCTACATCATTGTCATGCTCAGTTTCAATTTCATTGTGTCCCTTATTGTGGAGGTAAGTGCTCCCAGGCTGCTGATAATTGTATTGGAGTTTTGGTGGGGAAGTTCTTTGGGAGTTTGAAAACAGATTTAGCTGACAAGGGCTCAGCAGTGGGGGCTCCTTCCTTTGCGATGTGAGCAGTGATGCCTCTCCCTCTGAGTCACAAGGCATTAGTTTTCCCACCTGTAAAGTGTGGCTGGAGAATGGAATTATGATCTCTACATTCCTCCTCATTTCTAAAGTTTCCAAATGAAGACCCAACACAATTTTTGTTTTTAAATTGAGATATGCTTCACACACCATAAAATGCACCTTAAGTACACAATTCAGAGTTTAAAGCAGATACACTGAGCTGCGCCTCCATCAACTCTACCACACTGCAGAATTGTCATCACCCCAAGGAAAGCCTGTGCCCACCTGCAGTCACGCCTCATTGCATCTCCCCATCCCCCCCTGTAGCCACTAACGTGCTCTCTGTCTCTGTGGGTTCCCCAGCCTCTTTTGTGTCTTGCGTCTTTCACTTAACAACTTGTGTCATTTTCACTTTACAGATGGGAAACGGGATCTCCAGCGCGCTTTCTGGCTTTTACTCTTCAGCTCCCTCTCGCTCCACCCCCTCTGTCTCTACGTGGTTCACTCTCTCTTCCTTCATCACTGCTCAGGTTGGTCTCACCCTCTGGAGCTCAAATGATCCTCCTGTTTCAGCCTCCCAAAGTGTGAGGACTACAGGTGTGAGCCACGTGCCCAGCCCTGTTTCTTACTTCATATCAATCATTCAGTCATTCCTTCATTCTTTCATTTTCTCCACAAGTATTGGACCATGTGCCATGTGCCAGGGCCTATCCCAGGGCATAAGGATGACAGAGGGTAGAGCTCACATTCTACATGGAGACAGGGACAAGTGCTATAGTCATCGGTGTGTACACTTCTTCCACCTGCCATTAAACTGTGCTGCTCACAAGAGCTCCTCTTAGTACCTACAGAACCTAGAGTCCGGCTATATTCTAGTAGAAGCTGGGTAAAGGGTCATTCATTTATTAAATGTGAGAAGAGACTCTGCTTAATCCCAGCAGGTGGAGAAGGTAACCTGATGCTCATGAAAAATAAGTTTCTCCTTTGTTTCTTTGGGTTGGGTGAGATGTTTAGTGTGGGTTCCCAGCAGCTTCTAAATTGAAAACTAATATTGAAGGACACCGGTTCCCACCCCCAGGCTGCTAACTGCAGTCTCCAGCTGCTTTCCTGGCTGTTCCCCTTTTCCTGTTATTGGAAGGTACTCAGGGACAAACAAGATAGTTGTAAGGAAAGAGTGTGGACACTGAGATTTCCTCCCTCCCACGGTGGGCTTGGCAGAGCAGGGAAAGATGCCGGACCATCGTGAACACAGCAAGGTGTTTTCTCTCGGGTGTCTCTAGGTATCATATGCATTACAAGGAACTGAGCATTGGTTAGGTTCAAGTTTGTGTTTCTTGGCCCTTGGTTCCCAGGGCCAAAAAATGGGTTCCAAGTTGACAACAGATCACACACAGATGAACACTGGAAACTCACACAAGCAGCATTTATTGCCAAGTGAAAGGAAGTCTCACAAACTGGACAGAGCAGGCCGCCGAGACGGGATGGTATGTTCCTGTGAGTGGGGACGACCCTGTCAAATACCAGTTTTGTTCTTTTATTATGGGTGTGGGGGTTGCAGCTTTGGATTGGCCACCACTCCCTGGGTCACAGTTTTTAATCATCCTTTGTGAAAACCCACTGGGGGGAGTGGCTGTGAAACCACAGTGCCACAATGCAGCCAGGTCATAAGGTTACACTTGGGCACTTTTCCCTACCACTGGCTATGTTTTGTGCAGGGGAAAGTCACAGCTTTCCATTGTTGTGTTTAATCACCCCTTTCCTTATTGTCTGAGCCTCTTGAGGCATTCATTTAATCTTGTTCAATCAACCGTTGCAGGCTGGGGAGAACTCTGCAACTTACCCCCTTTTTGCTAACTGCACCCTAACAGTTTCCTTACACCGGCTGTGCTAACCACATACTGCCTGGCCAGCCTGCCACACAGATGGTCCAGAGAGTTTTTTGGGGGAACAGGCATGGGAATGTCTGTCCTTCTTTTGCACAATTGTGAATACTGCTTTGTCTGCTGAGATCTAACCCAGCCTCTCACCCTGATCTTAGAGCAGCCCAGAAAACACACAGCCTTGAATGAGACCTTGTCCTTCCTATGCTGATTCTCATGGGCTCACTGCTTGCCGAGAGGCATGGGAGCTAAGGTGGATAGCTTTAATAGCCAATTATTTTTATTACTTGTGAGTTTGTATATATAGATGTTTAATGTATGAACTATTTGAAGAGCCAGACAGAAGAACTCATGGGTGAATTTGTTTCAAGGAATGGAATATCATCAAGGCTTTTTGTTTCTAGTTCTGCGTTTTACATACAGTGCACATCAGTAGGACAGATCACTTCTCAGTGTTTCAGTTTATCCTTCCAAAGCAGCGAAAAGCAAGGGGTGCAGGCCATCAGTCTTCCAGAACTGCAAAAACTCAGGGCAAGGCAGAGTCCGCAAGTTTCTCTCCCTTCTGTCTCTCTCTTTCTCTCTCTGTCCCTCCCCCTTTCCTACCCTCTCCCTCTGTTATTTCACTTGTTAGACTTTAAACTTTTACTGGATCCCAATGCCTCACTCCAGCTGTAAGGAGAACCATTGTTCCCTTGTTGATGCTGGAGGAAAGTAGAAGAGCAGGTCCGGCAGGTGAGCCCAGAGCCTGACGGCTGTGTGGGGTTTTGAGCAGCCTGCCAGCTGGTGGGTTGATCGGCTTTCAGAGGAACAATGCAGTCGAGCTGCTTTCTGTTCTTTCCCTGGGCAATGGGCCACAGAGATCAAAGATGAGTAGATTTTAGGGACTACTCTTCTTTGACAAAATTCCTCATAGAATCCTACCCAATTAACTCATTCAGTTTAGCAAAGTTATTGCTGATGTACCAAAATATATACCAAAGTACCAAAAGTACATACAGAAAATAGTACAAATACCCAAATCATTAATTCCACGGGACAGTTTGGCTCCTCATATTTTTCTGTTTCTTTCATGATACCTTCTATGATAGTCAACATTTGTGACTAAATGTGATGGAAACGCACTTTGTGAAACCCTCTGAGATCTGTCCAAAGCTCAAGTTCTTGGTCTGGATGGATTTTGGCAGCTGTTGCAGTGGTGCATTATTGCGTGGAGGGGGAACTCTCAAAATGTGGGACTTCTGATTTTAAAATGTGACTCTTATTTTTCAGGAGGCCATTATTGAAAACCGGGCCCTGTGGATGATAATCAAAAGGTGTTGTGGCTACCATTCAAAAAGCCAGTATCGGATATGGCAGAGGGACCTGGCAAATGACCCCAGCTGGCCACCTATAAACCAGACCTCCTACTCTGACATGCCAGGGTGTGGCAGTGGAGTGTCATACAGCAATCCCGTATTTGAGAGCAATGAAGAACAACTTTAAGGGAAATGTGAGGCCCACAGTGATGTCACAGAGAAACAAAAACAAAAGGGACCAGTTTCAGCGCTTTTGAAAAAAGATGCTTGTAAGATCAGTCCGAGTTCGGGGGATACCTATCAAATCATGGGAACAAATTAAGTTTATTTGATAAAATGCTTTTTCCAGAGAAGAACATTGTCCCAGGAGAGTGACTTTGTCTTGGCTTCTGAAAATATTGGAGCTGTTCGGTACAGCGGGAACAGGCCAAGGACTGCCAGGAACCAAGAGAACAGCAGGCTAAGGAGAGAACGTGTCATCTTTCTTCTTAGGACAATAACTTTCCTTTCCTTTTTTTTTTTTAAATGAGGTGAAGGGAAATAATGCTATAATACAGAGTTAGAACGTGTTAAAGCTAATTTTTGAATTCTTACTTTATTGATGGAAAAACTAATGCGTGGGAACCATCACCCTCCTCGTCACTGTCTGACTTCCTTTCCTTTGCAGTACTTTTCAGAAGTATGGCTTTCCCCTCTACTTCTGGTCTTCCTTGGTGTGTTATTAAGGATGAGCTCAGCCTAGGATACAATAACAAACAATCCCCAAATTTTGGTACCTTAACACACAAGAGCTTCTTTCATGGTCCAGGTGACTCTCTGGAACAGCTGTCCTGAGCGTGCTGATTGCTTCAATCTGATGGCTCCGCCAACTCGATGGAGAGACTCATGTTTACTGTGATGGGGAAGGAAGAGGCTGACATGTGCTTTTCTCTGCCTCACCCCCCAGATGGCACGCATTGCTTTCCCCGCTCGGCTCTCATCAGCCAGGGGGTTGGCCAAGGAGTTGGAAGTAAACTCTTTTGTGTCTAGAGCTGCTTCATGGGCTTATAACCTGTAACTACACGGGGCTCCATACTTGGTTTAATGCTCTGCTAGTTCCATCTTAAAATTCTTAATTTTTGAAGAAGATTCCCCCTTTTTGTTTTATACTGGGCTGCACAGATGATGTGGGTTGGCCTGGATTGTTTTCATAGGAAGGAAAGAAAAGTGACAGATCAAAGAGCACTACCACTACCCACTGCACCTGCTTCTCAGCCTACAAATTTCTTGTATGTTTTAGGGACGTCTGTCAGGCCCAAATCCAGGACCCTTTACTCCTCTGCTCTGTTATCTTTGAGAAACATCCATCTTGTGCTATGCTGCTATATGTCATTGTGTGAGTCCCTGCACAACACCTATTCATTTTTTTTTTTAAGTTTGAGGTTTTAGATTCCAGAAAACTCAAAATTTCTCTTATCTGATTGCTATTACCATTTAGCTATGTTGGATTCATCCAGCATAGAAAACAGCTGGACTTCTTTTAGCTCAGGAGACAAAAGAAATCCCTTCTTTTAACTCAGGAAACAAAATTCTGTTTTCCTGAATTCTAGGAAAACACCTACATGTACAATTATTCTAAAGCAAAAGCAAAATTTTCATTTTGAGCATAGAATTTTAAGTGAATATTGTGGGCAGTGGGTGAGTGTCCTGGCCTGGGCCGGCTCTGCTGCTTGGCCATATAGCTCCTGCAACCTTCCTTTCCACGACTGGGCTCATGAGCGTGGTTGGCAGCTGTGTGACTGAAGCTGATTCTGAGAACCTGGTGTCTCTTAGTCACTAGGATGCCTTGTTGCTTCTGGTTTTAAAACAGAGCATGAAGATATTTCAGTGTTTCAAGGCTGCACAATTATTTTTTTCTTTGGTACAGAAACAAATGTTTCCTTTTACAAAGTCTGACTCAGCAGTGAAATGGCAGCTCAGAATGGCCCTTGCTAAAACTCATCATTTTTCTCATTTCCTAAAAGTGTGGGGTTATGGGCAGGGACAAGCTGGAGATGGTCTGCAACCTACTCGGGAGCGAGGTTAGCGTGCACAGTTCATACTCACACAAGCCCCTCTCCGACTGCTTTCACTTCCACTAACTCACTTGAATCACACAGTTCTCTTGTTATTAGACAAGGGATGAGAAAACCCTACCACACAGATGAGAAAACTGAGATTCAGGATGGCAAGAGCACATCCAAGCCTCAAAGGTGGATCTTCTGAGCAAACCTTATGTTGCTTCCAAACACTTTCTAATTACAGAGCTCTAGTGGGGCAGTGTCTTGGGTGTGTTCTCATGATCACAGTCAAGAAGAGTGCTAGGTGGAAGGAGGCAACCTTCCTTTGCTAATTCCAGAGCTTCTGTCCAAATAGATGCTTGAATGCCAGGGCTAGAAGTGTGTTAAAAACCAAACTAAACCAAACCAAAAAATGATTGTCTGTTTGTCTTTCTGAGACTGTGAGTTAGTCTTGCCTTGGCCCTTTGTGATTCTGTCCTCAGCAATTTCCAAATGACTGGCAGAAAACAGATCAATGGCTCTGGCTCCCCACTAGCCACACAGCCCTAAAATCTTTACCAAAAGGGACCCATTTTGGAGACTGTTTTCCTGGGACTAACTACATCTTAGAAGCAGTAATTGAAGGAAAGAAGAGCTTAGCTGAGAACAAAGGAATCAGGGGACTGGGAAGGGTTCTCACAGGGAAATGAGGATCTACATGTGCCAGGTGGCATGAGGAGGGGGAATCAGGACGAGTGAGTGAAGATCACATGGGGATAGCTTCAGCCTAATGTGAAGATCCCTGCCCTGACAGCCAGCCCTGGCGGAGGCAGAAGCTGGTAACCACGTGGTATGCACGCCAGAACACTGGAAATGCCAGTGGCTATTCAAAGACCAACTAGAAAAGGAGTCAAGTATCGGAAGAAACTCAGTTACCTGCAAGCTTCTTTCCAGGCTTGCTATACCCAGTGTCTCAGTCTCATGCTGTAATGTGAACCCTTCACTACTGCTCCCTAACAGAACTGATGTCAGACTGAGGCATGGCCAGGGAGGGCGCCCAGCCCCATGAGGAGCCTCTAGTGCAGATATAAGGACTTGACTGCTCAGCACCTCACCTTGGATGGGGGTTCCTGGGGGAATTAAGAGCCTGGAAAAGAGGAACAGAGTGAAGGGTCATGACTACCAAACTGACAGCTGAGGGAGTACTTTTGACGTGTATTTTCTTAGAGAGAGGTATTTAAAATTTTTGAGTAAAAGAGCTTGGGCATGGGAGAGTCCTTCAAACCCCAGAACAGAGGAACTTACTATCAATACACTCCCCTGACCAAGACCTGGAGGAGAAAAGGACACAGTCACATGATGCAAACCTGTATGTTCAGCCCTGGGTTTTCAGCTCTCACACACAGAGAACTCTCTCTCTGGGCTCCCTCATTAAATATGTAATGATCTGAGAATGGAAACTTGCCCGAGCTATCTGTGTCCTTATGTGCTCCCAGAAGTGTGCATGTACATACTTGCCAGTGTGATTACTGAAAAAAGTGACTATTTATTCAGAGCCTTGTATTTAGTTTATGCTATAATAAATTATTCTGTACAAAAGAGGCAAGTAAAATCTATAATTCTGTTGTTCAAAAATCAATCTCTCTGTTTGTCTGCAGTGGACTGTTTCACTCCGGCTAATAAAATAGTGTGGCCTAATCCAGTAATGTGGAATGAAATCAATACCTCCACAAAGTTCCAGGCATTTACTGACACCACAGATGCCATTATGCTCTGCTTTATCCACCAGGCCTTACAGTTTTCAAAATCCTTTCATACTTACTCTCTCATTCAAGCCTCATAGCAATCTTAGGGGGAAAGAAAGCAGGGCAAGGATTACCATCCTTCTTTTGACAAAGTATAAGACCCTCCAAAAGGCTCAGTAACTTGGTCAAGGATGCAAAGAACTTAGAACCCGACGTGGCCTGTTATTTGCGAGTTCCCTATTGTGCTACTCTCCCATGGGTTGTTTTCCTAAATGAAAGTCTGTGGCACTGAAAAACAAGATGGCAGCCATCCCGTACAATTGCCGTCATAGTTTAATTTCTTCCAGAAAGAGTTTTTAGGTTCTCGTCGAAGTTCTCTTGAACCTGACTGGAAATCACGGAAAAGGTCAACTCCCGCAGCTGAGAGTAAAATCAGAAAGCCAGAGGCCTATGAGCCTATTTCATGTGATCAGATAAAGCTCTGGTTTCTGGCTTTAGTCTCCAGAAGCAGAAACATGTATTTCTGTTTGAACTTTGTTCAGCCCTTGCTTTATATAGCTTTTCAGCTTCCTATGAATTCTCTTTTGGTTTTAAGCTATGCTCACTTCTCTATGCATAAAAATTTGGAAACTGCTGCCTCACACCATTCTAGCTGCCTTTTGGTTTCCATTAGACTGTTCTAATGACCTTCCAAACTTTATCGATAAAATGATTTTCTTCCAAATTGAACATATGTACAAACAACAGCAAAATACAACTGCCCTGGAGTTGTTGAGAGAGGCTTAGGACTGGGCCACCCTCGCCTTCTCAAACACCCCAAGCACGTTCCTTCCTCAGGAAGACTGTGTTCGCTGTTCCCTCTGCTCTGAATGCTCCCACCTAAAATACACAAACAAACAAACAACCCCCCCAAACCCCCCACATGTCCAATTTCTTCTCCTTCCAACTTCACCTAGTCACTTCTTCCGAGAAGCCTTCCCCGATGACTTTATCTAATGCTGTCTTTGCCCTGTTAGCCTGCTTTGTTGCGCTCTGTGTGACACTTGTGCAGCCCGTCGGCTGACTGAGGTTGAAAACATACTGCTTGTTCAAGATCACATACATAGGAAATGGGAGAGCTGAGTCTCGAATCCAGGTCTATTGACTTTGGAAGCAACATTCTTTATATTCTTCACACCTAGCCAGGCTCTGCTATCAGATTAGCTAATCTGTTTAGAAAAGGAAAGTAGGGCATTGCAGGACATTGCCCATGGGTGAAAGAAAAACTCAAAGAATCGTCCGGATTCTCTCAACTCTGTTTCTTTGCTATCTCCTTTCAACTCCCTCTCCTGAGTGTTTCAACTCAGGACAAGTCTGATGAAACACTGACCTGTGATAAAGATGCATGCGTACTTAGTATGGAAACACTCCTGAGTTTGAAGCTG